CAAAATGACCGTTTTGTCTAAATACTTATACATATACATGTGAAATCATAACTGATTTTCACTGAGTTACATTTGAATGAAAACAATAATAGTACACGGATCACCATTTACTAAAGAATACTCTTTTTATGGAACTTTTTGTTATGTTAGAAAGCCGTTCAATTCAATGGAACAGTATATATTCCGCTCTGACATACTCGTGGTACTACATAATCAAGTTCATTTATAATACAAGTCCTTGTTTACATAGCATTCTATTCAAATCTCAGACAGTCGCCTTTAATATAGACGTCAATCATTTTATCGGTTAATTCAGAGAAGCCATTAGAGATAATGTTCAAGCATATAAGAATCATAGCCTCTTCATGTTAATGTGGCTTCAGGATATTATACTTATAGCCATAGTGATTACAACAAACATTTTCTTCAACATTTATTCGATTTCAAATAATTACAGACGGACATTTGTAAAAAAAAAAATATTACGCAGTACAGTTGAATTTTGCTTTGGGTAGAAGTCAATAAGACAGCAACAAACATTTTTTAAAGAAAAGAAAAGAACATATATAGATGTCAACATACGGTTCTCAATAATCAGTAAGTGCCAAAATTGTTCTCAGTCTAGACAAGTTGTGCGAATAAACTAAACCGCATGTTCTTTTTCCTTTGCTTGTGCTTTTTTGTCAAATACATAAGCGACTTCTTTCAGTTTGGTTAGTTGGTTGATACCTAAATTACATAAGTGTCCTTTCAAACAAAGTTATATTGCTGGGTTTTCCAAGTGATCCACGAAACCTCTTTCTAAGTTATTAACATCAATTTTATCAGCAATCAAAGCCTGGCCTCAGAGTTATTGTGAAATAACCTTTCCTAGAGGCGATAGGAATCAGATGTGGATACTTGAAAAATCCAAAGATCTGTAAGTGGAAATGCAATCTGAGTCTCTTTCCTCTTACAATTGTATTAAAACGTTTGACTTTTCTACCCTTTACACAAGTATTCCCAATTCCAAATTTAAAAAGACAAATTGAAAGAGTTGGTCCTACTTTGTTTCATAAAAAAGAATGGCCAAAGTAGGTACACATATCTTGTTTTAAAGTCGGATAAATCGTATTTTGTAAAAAAAAAAAAAAAACAACACTCTGATTCAAACAAAAAATTCACTGAAACTGACATTATCAAGATGCTTCATTTCTTGATTGACAAAATATTGGCTACATGGACATACGGAGGACGTGTTTTTCAATAAACAATCGGCATTCTCATGGCAACATACTGCTCCTCTTCTTGCCGACTTGTTCCTTTATTCATATGCATACAGGAGCTTCTAAGGAAGAATTAAAAGAAGCTAGCAATATCCTTTAACTTCCCGTTTCTCTATATATAAGTTATGTCCTGTCATTGATTAATTCAAAGTTTGATGACTTTGTTGAACGTATGTATCCCATCGAACTTGAAATAAAGGATAAAACAGATATAGTTAAGTCTTCTAATATCTTGACATTCATCTAGAAATTGACAGAGAGGGTCGGCTGAGAACAAAACTTTACGAGAAAAGAGATGATTTCAGCTTCCCTATTGTGAACTTTCCATTTCTATGAAGCAGCATTCCTGCAGCGCCTGTATATGGAGACTATATCTCCAAGTAGATACGATATTCCAGGGCTTTCATTTCCTATCACGACTTCATTGATAGGGGTTGCTGCTTACAAAAGGGAGCTATTAAACCAAGAGTTCCTAGTGGTGAAATTGAAGCCATCTCTTCAAACAATTTACGGACGCCATCACGAGTTGGTTGACCGTTATGATAAATCATGTCCCAGATGACGAAGGACATGTTCCAATTGTTGTAACCACAATCCTCTTTTCTCGAATGTGACCTGCTGAATTAGACTTAATTTCATCGGATTTCTACTAACATTAGCAACACGACGGTGCCACATGTGAAGCAGTATCTGCTTATCCTTCCGGAGAACCTAATATCATCCCCGGTTTTTGGTTGGAATTGTGTTGCTCATTCTATAGTTTTCTATGTTTTTGTTTTGTAGACTTTTGTTTGTCTTTAAGTTGAGGGTGGTGAAGGGTTATTTTCGTGCAACGTGTTTTGCCATTTTTATTTCACGCGCAGCCGTGAAAAAGGTTCGTTATTCACCGTGTTTCGTGAAATCGGTAAAAAGATCAACGTGCAAGACATTTTTAATAGTTCGTTAATCGTGAAATGTCAATTTTATTTCGCGTTCTTCCGTGCAGAAACCCCCACCCCTTTATGCCTCTCTTAGTTGTTTTTCGTTTTTTGCCATGGCATTGTCAGTTTGTTTTCGAATTATGAGTTTGAATATCCCTTTGGTATCTTTCGCCTCCCCTTTAATGTTCTTTCCTTTAGTTGTGTTTTTAAAGATAAATATGCGATTTCGTTCAGATTGTTTGGCTAATTACTTTCTTTGCATTCGTCAGAACTTCACAATCAATAACAATCTTAATGTTGGTAGTTTAACACATACTGAATAACTTGATTCTGTGTACAATTTACAGGCAGAAAAAATAGATACAAAACTAGTATTGAAACCGAAAGATAAACATAACGTATGGACAACGTTTTCACATGCATGGGATTGACCTATACACAACACCAATTAAAGCAGGGTCACACTCAACTGACATACTGAAAATGTAGTGTTAAAGAGTTGTCTCATTGGCAATCATACCACATCTTCTTATTTTCATATTAAAAAAATAATATAATATACAACATTAACAATAATGCTTATCCTTATATATCTTTTCTTGTTGTTTTTGGAAAAACAAGGAAAGAACTGGATCTTCACATTTGGTTCAGATAAATCAATATTGTTGACGATCTTGACTTTCTGTATAGACACTGGTTTATTATAGAGACCACCCCTTTCGGTGTAGACATCGGTCTACTGTAGAGACCACCACTTTTGGTGTAGACATCGGTCTATTGTAGAGACCACCACTTTCGGTGTAGACATCGGTCTATTGTAGATACCACCACTTTCGGTGTATACACTGGTCTTTTGAAAATACAATCCCTGTGGGTGTAGACACAGGTCTATTGTAGATACCATCACTTTCGGTGTATACACTGATCTAATGTAGAGACCATCATTTTCGGTGTTGACACTGGTCTATTGTATAGACCATCACTTTCGGAGTATACCCTAGTCTATTGTAGAGACCATCACTTTTGGTGCATACTCTGATCTATTGTAGAGACCATCACGTTCGGTGTATACATTGATCTTTTGTAGAGACCATCACTTTCGGTTTAGACAGTAGTCTATTATTGAGACCATCTGTTTCGGAGTATACACGGGTCTATTGTAAAGACCATCACTTTCGGTGTAGACACTGCTCTATTGTAGAGACCATCACTTTCGGAGTATGCGCTGGTCTAGTGTAGAGACCATCACTTTCAGTGTATAAACTGATCTATTGTAGAGACCATCACTTTCGAAGTATACAATGGTTTATTGTAGAGACCATCACTTTCGGTGTAGACATTGGTCTGTTGTAGAGACCATCACTTTCGATGTAGATACTGGTCTATTGTAGAGATCATTACTTTCAGAGTATACAATGGTCCAATTTAGAGACCATTTCTTTCGGAGTATATGATAGAAGACAGTATGGTGATCGTTATATCTTTTCTGATGGTGTTTGTTATTGTCGCGTTGCTATTTCATTTGCCTATAACTCATGTTTCCTTCAATTCATATGTAACTAACAGCAAACATCTAAAAAGTTAAAGATTTGGACAATACAAACTCCTACCAAGCCCCGAAAGTCATATGGTGTAAACAATATTTTATTATTGTTAAATGAAAAAAAACACCCCATCTTGTGAAATACAATAAAATCTTCCGGAGCACTTGAGATCACCTTCGAATTTTGGTGGGTTTCACGTTGCTCAGTCTTTAGTTTTCTATGTTGTGTTTTGTGTACTGTTGTTTTGTCTTTTCGTCGTAATTTTGCCATGGCATTGTCTGTTTGTTTTCACTGACGAATTTAGATATCCCTTTGCTATCTTTCGCCTCTCTTTTTCAAAGATGACATCTTTTTTAAATGTCGAATATTAACAAATCGGATGCTTAATAAATATGTTAATATGAAGACGCATATGATAATATGTAATATGCACTTAATAAAAATCGGGCATTTCAACATGGAAAGAAAATACCATCAGACCTGAAAATAACTTTAAGGAGTTTACATGACAGTAATTGTAGTTTCTTACTTTCTCAGAGCAAGCACTGTAGAATTTTTGAGAAGGGACTAGCTGAAAACATTTGTACACTAAACGTAACGGTAGTTGATATAGATAATTAACAGTTTAGAAATTGAATTCAAAGTTTGCCATGATGTTTACTGTGAAGTGTTATGTTCTTAAAACGACCTTTGGTGTTTATATCAACTTGTCAACGTAGGTACTAGGTATACCTGTTGTTTTAATGGTGACTGCCCTCTATTTCTAGTACATTGAGATACACAAAATGTACTTCATCTTTATGATTATTTAAAAAGCACTACATCATCTAGGTAGCTGAAGTTAAAATTAAAGGGTTCATCTAGCATACATTCATTTACTACATTTAATAACTGATGGATGAATCCTGCTCCATACTAATTTAGCTACAAATCCACATTTGTGCGGTGCAAATTTTTTAGTTGTCCATTTGAAAGTCATTAAAATCGTTTGAATGGTTTTACACTAGTAATTGTTGGGGCCCTTTATAGCTTGCTGTTCGGTGTGAGCCAAGGCTCCGTGTTGAAGACCGTACTTTGACCTATAATGGTTTACTTTTACAAATTATGACTTAGATGGAGAGTTGTCTCATTGGCACTCATACCACATCTTCTTATATCTATCCATTAAATTCAGCTATCCATTTAAATCAACGGTAAAATATTAAAGCTTAAAACAATTTCAACGAAAATCTACTTGATTTACCTAACAGAGGCAGTTAGAGAAGGAAACATTACAAATAAAAACTTTATTTAAATATACTGATAATATCAAAAACATAGCGTAGAAGGCAAAGTAAGTCAAAAGAAACCGTTAATATATCCAGGAAAGGCACCATAAATCAAGAAATCCGACTGAAAATAGTTCATTGGTTATATGTAATTGACGTTACAATGTTGTGACTTCGGTATGGATAGACACAACTTCCAAATTATCAGATAAGACGTCGGCATTGTCAGATGCAATTTCGATATTGGCAGAAACGCCTTCGGTACTGTAAGAAACGACATCGGTATTGGCAAACGCTTGTGTTTGTATTGGTGTAAGCTTTCTCTGATGAACCACTTTATCAAGTGAGAACATTGTTTCCATAGGTAATGGGAATATAATGGTAGATTCTCGTTCTGCAGCTACAGTACCGAGGGTCTGCATATATCTGAGTTGCATGGCAGTCGGTGACTGCATCATAATCTCAGCTGCGTCTTTTAGAGCCACTGATGCCCTCTGTTCACCTTCAGCCGCTATTACCTGTACAAAACACATTGGAAATATTTAGTCATACAAGACTAGTTATGTTGTTTATTTCATTGTCATTTATCGCATATTTGGGATTTTGTGGGTATATTCAAATTTCCTATCAGATTTTTATGCAGAATGTTCGAAATAAACTCATCATAGATACCAGGATTGAAATTTTGTATTTGCGCCAGACGCGCGTTTCGTCTACAAAAGACTCATCAGTGACGCTCGAATCAAAAAAAGTTAAAAAGGCCAAATAAAGTACGAAGTTGAGGAGCATTGAGGACCAAAAATTCATAAAAGTAAACAACGAAATGAAGCATTCACAAAAAAATAAATCCTGGATTCAAAGAAACTGTATATCAACAAAATTAAATGAATCGTCTTTGTGTCTTTGTAAATGTGTACGTTTTTTTTTTTTTTTTTTTTTTGTAAAATGACACATGACTGAAAAGTTAAAATCGTGAAATATGCTTGTCTTAATGTCAGGTGTAATAAAGCAATACATTATAGTATGTAACTGCATATTAAAATGGAACAAAAAAAATGAAACGTTAAACGTGTCACGGTATGTTTATTAAAGTTTACCAACTACATATTAAAATGGAGGGATGGGGGAAGAAATGTTAAACTTGTCACGTTGTGTCTATTAGATTTTACCAACTTCATTTAAAAAAAAAAAGAAACGTTATTAAACGCGTCACGGCGTGTCTATTAAATTTTACCACTTCTATTATGGAGCTTCAGCAGCAACACGACTTTTGGTTTCTGAACGTTACTTACTTTGGCGAGTGCTTCTCTTGACGCTTCAGCTTCAGCAGCCATTGCTCGTTGTAGCTGTATCGGTAGTTTAACATCTTTTCTGAATAGAAATGTATTTTTTTCAGATAAAATGAAATTAAAAAAAAAGGTTGTCCTAGTGGTCAGACTATCATTAAAGTGGGTGAATTAACGACAACTTTTTTCGAAGAAAAAGGTGATATTGTTGTAAATGGGTTTATTTAATGTTACAATCTATATGATTTATATCTCCTGTGGAAAATAGTAAAACCTACATAGAAACTAAAAAGACAATTCATATTATCTTTTTCATTCCAACCTATGTATCAAAAATAATTCTGTACTGTTTTAACCATGTATCATCTGCAGTATGACTTATAGTGGGAGAAGTCCTCAATATCAAAATGACATCAAACACCAGTGAACTAGAGCATCTTAAGATCACCGCTCGGCTTTTAGCTATGAAATAATACTATCTGAATTCAAAATCAAACAATCACCGTTTGATTCTCAGCAATGAGACAATTACATCTGAATTACTTACATTTCAACTCTTTCAATTTGTACACCCCAGGGATCTGTAGATTCGTCTAATATTTCCTATATAAAAAAAAATTGTATCTAACAAATATGCATTCATATCATCAGTTCTTTAATGGAACAAACAAAATGGTTATATTTCCAAATTACATAAATGCTTGTACCATCGACAATATTACTGTAAGTATACAAGAGTGCACACGCTGAAATGTCTCGCCTTTTTTACTAATCATTGATATTATGTTGATAGTTCTAAATATAAAGCTTTACTACAACTATCACATAAACTTAACATGATCCAAGAAAATGAGGTCAAGGTAATATAAACCAAACAAGAAATACATGTACACCTTACAATCATTCAATACACTAAATATAGTTGACCTGTTGCTTATAGTTTCTAAGATACAGACTTAACCAAGAAAACTAAACATTGACTAATGAACCATGAAAATGAGGTCAAGGTCAGATGAACCATGCCAGGCAGACATGTTCAGCTTGCAATCCTTCCATACAACAAATATAGTTGACCTATTGCTTATAGTAAAAGAAAAACAGACCAAAACACAAAAAACTTAACACTGAGCTATGAACCGTGAAAATGAGGTCAAGGTCAAATCAAACCGGCCAGGCTGACATGTACATCATAAAATATTTCCATACACCAAATATAGTTGACCTATTGCATATAGTATTAGAAAAAAAGACCAAAACTCAAAAATTTAACATTGACCACTGAACCATGAAAATGAGGTCAAGGTCAGAAGACACCTGCATGCCAGCTAGACATGTATACCTTACAATCATTCCATACACCAAATATAGTAGACCTATTGCATACAGTATAAGAAAAACAGACCAAAACACAAAAACTTAACTATAACCACTGAACCATGAAAATGTGGTCAAGGTCAGATGACACCTGCCAGTTGGACATGTACACCTTACAGTCCTTCCATACACCGAATATGCTAGACCTATTGCTTCTATTATCTGAGATATGGACTTGACCACCAAAACTTAACCTTGTTCACTGATCCATGAAATGAGGTCGAGGTCAAGTGAAAACTGTCTGACGGGCATGAGGACCTTGCAAGGTACGCACATACCAAATATAGTTATCCTATTACTCATTATAAGAGAGAAATTAACATTACAAAAAATCTTAACTTTTTTTTCAAGTAGTCACTGAACCATGAAAATGAGTTCATGGACAATGGACATGTGACAGTCGGAAATTTCATAACATAAGGCATCTATATACAAAGTATGAAGCATCCAGGTCTTCCACCTTCTAAAATACAAAGCATTTAAGAAGTTAGCTAAAGCCGCCGCCGTAGCCGCCGCCGCCGCCGGATCACTATCCCTATGTCGAGCTTTCTGCGACAAAAGTCGCACGCTCGACAAAAAATCGCTCTAGATAGGATATGGTTTAATTCAATACTAACTTACAGTTTTATTTTGAGAAATGTACATATGTTTAAAAAAGTAATAGTTTAATGTCAACTCCTTCTCCCAACCTACCCACGCATAAAGATCAAATTGTAAATAATGAAGTTAATGTTTTGAAACAATTGTATTAGCTGCTTCTCTAGAATTAAGGACTAAGAGCAAAATCTGGTCAGCCAGGAGTCAGAACAATGTGACCGGGTAGGGTGATATGTCTTCAATGTGGACTTTGTGAACTAGCCGGTTAGAAACCAGATTCAGTGTGTCTGTCGAGTACAAAGCAGGGCTGCACGTTATATATCATATCAATATGTTCTTGTCCTGATATACATGTAATATCAGCAATCGGACGTTAAACACCGTCCACCAATCAATCCCTTAAAGATAGTTTGTCATGTGTTCTTCACTATGTGACATATCAATATATATTTGATTAATAATCGAAAAGAACAGATCATGTCTACCAAAGATATACATTTTACCTGCATTTGGTCCGCGATTGTATCACGATCCGATAATAATTCCGCCATGTTTTTTGTACCCAGCACATTCCTGAGAGTTGTTGCTGCCAGTAAGGATGTAGAATATCTAGCATTGGCTACGTTACATGTGGCCATGACGGGGTCAAATATCCTGGTAAATATCACAGCGTCTACAGAAACAGTTAACGAATCCTTTGTCAATATCTGAAATTTAATGAGCTGTTGTCATCAACTAGATAGATATAAGCAGTAGATATATCAATATATTCAGTACATATTAATATCAGAAGGAATCGAGTCTATGTTTGAATTTAAACTTATTTTTTCAATTGTAAAGTACTAACAAATTGAAAGTTTAGATAGTTGGTATTGTCGAGAAGGAATAGTCTATGCATCGAATCTGTAGTCTAGTACGCCCCTGTTGTCCAACGGTTGTCGTTTTTTGCTGTCTGCCACAGTATTTCGTTCAATATTATTAGCTCAAACCAGGTCTTTGGTTTACTCATTTGGACTATTTCACATTTTGTAATTCTTGAGCTTTTAATAGCTTACTGGAAGGAATGGGTTTTGTTCATTGCTGAAGGCCGCACCACTGTAAGCTGTTTACATCATTGTCGTTTGATCTTTGTGTATATTTGTCTCCTTTGCAATCTATAACATATTCTTATCTCTTTTAGTACTATTTATCTTGCTATCGTAATGAGGACAACAACGTTGATATTCCGATTTCTATCATAATTTCTTTGACTGTACTAGACGTCAGAAATCTGTTGGTTACAGACATGTATAAAAACGTGCATAATATAAAGAAGACACACAAAAAATATATGAGCAGACCGTATATGGTGTGAATTTAATCAAACCCTGTTCGAATTTGGTTTTTATTGTTTTGAAATATTTAGATCTGTTTTATTCACATTTATCATATCAACATTGTTTTTAGATAGTTTGGAGAACAGTTGTACATTTATACAAACCAGGCCCCTCCCAAGCATGAGAACTTACCTCCTGCGGGGGAATATTCACGGACACCATTCTTAAATCTATCTTTACATATTCGTCGATGCAAGGAAAGACGATGAATAAACCTGTAAAGAATGATTTATTTATTTAATATTTTATTAGACGTGTCGTGTGTATCGATATATATTTGCATGCTTTGAAAACCCTGAACATTATAACGAAATGAACAAGAGGAAGAACGCATAAAGAAAGGGAAAATAAATCGAAATATTAAAGAATACTTAATAAAAAATCTTACAACACTAAAAATTGGTGGTTCAATTGCCTGTTGGAAATAAGAATAGAGTGGAAGCAAGTATAAACTACATTATTGTAAGATTGTATGAATGAGAGCAAAAAAACATAAAATTAGGGAAAATATGATGAAATATTAAAGAAATTTAATCAAGAAATTATTACGCACAAAAAAGGGGGCTTTCTACGCCCCATGCGCTCGTAAATTTATCATATTAATTGTTCCAGTACCAAAGCACCGATTACTGGTTGGATGGTACCCTTAGGGACTGATGGTCCAATTAACATGAGCTGTACCTAACGAGTGATAGTAAATATATACCTACTTCCCTGCGCTCGACTCGTGTTTCTGGAATACGCCTTCGACGTTTTAACGTGCCTTCCAGAACAGAGAAAGCTGATAAAGGTCAATATTGCCTGAGGGACTTACAGAATCAGCTTAAGTCTGAAGGACTTACAAGCTTATGGCTTTAATACAATTAGACACTTTATGAACATTTACAGACAAAATATATTTTATTATATATTTAAATTATCAGTTACGAATCACTGATTGCAGGTGGATGGCATGCTCGGGGTTGATAGTTCATTAGTTCGACCCCGTGGAAGTAATTAAACGTCTGATACCGATGACTCTCGTATTTCCGATATAACTTTCATCAGACAGACTCGAAACTAAAGTTGAGAAAGCTCAAATTAAAACAAGAGGGGTCATCCCGAACACAAAACAAAAATCGTCATCTTTTAATATCGGAGTTGCAGTTTTAGTTTTAATACAGTTATATTATCTATGAAATGGAAAACTACAGGAAAAATATAAAAAAACAAGGAAAAAAATTCAAGAAACAATGTTAACTTATTACGACAATGAATAGTTTACCTGGTCCCCTAGCACCACCAGAAATCACCCGTCCAAGTCTGAATATAACAACACGTTCATATTCCTGTACAATCTACAATGAAAAGCATCAGAAGTGTATTATATAAAGATTAGGAGACGTTGTATGATTGCCAATGAGACAACTATCCAGTCGACCAGAGTTAAAATGATATTTTCGGATGTTAGTTTATGGTTACAGTATGTTGGGTTGGTGTCTCATTAATGTTAACCATTCACCTTACAAACGATGACTGGGCATAGAAATACGGTAAGACCCAATAAATCAATTTACAAGAATACCTTTGAAAGAGTGGTCAACTGTTAAGACTCACTGAAAAACTAAATATTTAAGAACGATTAACAATATCTTAAATGCAAAAATGCCGTTACAATTTAATGTAATGTCCATCACACTTGCACGGAAACTAATTAAAGAAAACAATCTTCCTATATTAATGAAAATAATAAATTAAGAAGGTTAACAGATAGAAAAGAATTCTTCCAAAGATGGTCAGAGAGGGATACTTATACTTTTAAAAAACACGAAATCAAATGGATCAAGAGAAATAACCCAAACTCTTACAGAGATATTTCTCCTTGTAACTTGCTAGTTCACATGGAAACAGTCCGCAGGAAGACATGTCACCCTACCCGAACACATTATTCTGACTCCGGCCCGAAAAGTCTTTGCTCTTATTGCTAAAAGCCGCATGATTAGCGGAGAAGCAGCAATTTTCAAGTCTTTGGTTTGACCCGGTCGGTCATCGAACACGACCTCCCACTCGAGCCATTGAGCAACATACTGTTAAGTGAAAAACTTACATTATTGGAAAATTGCTGAGAAAACAAACATAATAGCTTACCTTTACTATGAAACATAAGGAGAACGGAAAAGTAAAAATGATGAGAATTGTTGACAAAGCAACACAGCAGCTTCCACAAAAACCTAGATCGTTGTCCTCTGAATTTATATTTCTTTCTGAAATTAAAAGAAATTAATCGATATAACCTAAAAAAAAATTACTAAATAATTATGTCCTGTTGCTCAGCTTCTTAATTTCGAAATCCTAGCTCAAGATCTAGATCGATAAAAAGTTTCATTTACAAAAAATCAAATAGGTAGACAACGTTATTTGGAAAGGTGATGCTGCTATTACCATATTAATTCAGAATCACAGATAACTCAATATTGTTAAGGGTTTCCAAAAATCGGAAAGCGAAAATAGATGGAAACTTAATTTGATTGTGCAAATTTCAAATAATTGTACACATAAATCGCATGTATACGTAAATTTATACAGAACAGCATAATTATGCTGATATTTACGTTCGAGATCAGTTGTGCTCATAAAAACGCAATGTAGCCACACCTAGGCCCCCTTACCTAAACCACATTGCATAATTAATTGAGAGACCTGTCCTCGCACTAGTGTTCCAGTTTTCTTTATTGAATCTTTTCATTTTTTGGTTTTTTTTTCGTAGTTTGAGCTACATTATTGTATATATGATTATAATATATATGCCCTTTTACGCAGCATTTATTTATCTATAAAGAAACTTGTCCTCATTGTTGACATTATTTTTAATTTAACTGACCCTACTTGTCGACATTGATAGAGATTTAAACAAAATATCAAATGACATGATTATACTTACGGAATTCTTGTTTCATTTTGTAATCCTTAATAAAAAATAACAAATCATACAATATCCATTTGTTGTTTAAGCTGTCAGGGAAAGTCAGGTGTCTCCGCCATTTTATTCTACCTATATATATATAATGTTATGATTTCGAAATCATTTCTGTCAATAAAGGGTAGGTGTCTATTGTGAAATCGTTTACTTCCCGGGTATCAGTTACATCAGTATCGACAACTCTCTAGCTGTCAGTCAAAGGAGTCTTATATTTTTATTTACAATTTATATAACAAACACATTATTATACATTATAAATTTCCGTTTAAAAACCGTCGATACCCTCATATACCTGGATTGGTGGTCATTGATCGTATTGATCACATATGATAAACGAGTTCAGGTAAAGTGGTGTGTAAATCTTAAGAATATAAATAGATTTAAATACTTATTCATGATTGGTTCACGGAATTAGTAATCTGAGATATCTTTGATAAAATTGAGAATGGAAATGGGGAATATGTCAAAGAGACAACAACCCGACCAAAGAGCAGAAAACAGCCGAAGGCCACCAATGGGTCTTCAACACTGCGAGAAAATCCCGCAACCGGATGTGGTCCTCAGCTGGCCCCTAAATAAAATTGTGTGCTAGTTCAGTGAAAATGGACGTCACACTAAACTCCAAAACATATAAATGAACTAAAATTAAAAAAAATACTAGACTAACAAAGGCCAGAGGCTCCTGACTTGGGACAGGCGCAAAAATGCGGCGGGGTTAACCATTTATCAATTTGTTTATTTAATATAATGTCAACTAAAGTAATGCTCAATTTTTGTATAGACTGCAATGTTCAATTAACTATATTTTGTCATTTGTTTGGTTTTTTTTTTTGTCTTTTCTGTGATTTTGTCTTAAAATTTTGTGTCCCTCCCCTTGGTATCTTCTTTGGTTTTTTTTAATGAAGAGTACAATTATTATCCAAACGCCCTCATGCAAAGTTGTCCTTAGGTGGATTTGGCTCGACTTTTCAGGTCCCTAAAGTTCATTTTGCTAATCCAGTTGCCGATATCAAAAAGGGGAAGGGTTGAGATCCAAAACAAAACCTTGTTAACTCTGCCACAATTGTTTGTGCCTATCCTAAATCTGGAACATCGCCAGTTGGTGTCTTATATCTTATCTCATTGGTTTTTTCGTCCTTTTTTGTTTCATTCTTTTATTCGGAGAAGTTGATGTTTTAGACTGATCCATAATGTTTGATAGATCTGTTTAATTCATTCAAATTCGGGACGTGCTCATATTATTTGAACGCTTGTCTATTTTTGAGGACAGTCTTTAGGTGTCTTTTGGCTATTTGTGATTTTGGTTTTTTGTATCATGAACGGTTATCCCACATCTCCTTTTATTCTTAGTCTTCATTGGCCGGTTCCTGCAAATAGAATTATACATGTACTACCATTGTCAGTCCTTATTTAATTGGTAACATTGAGTGGGTACTAGAGACATCCGGACTTTCGAAATAAATCAAACCCTTCATACGCATTTGACCTATCATTCATACTTGGGGAACGAATTCTGAGGTGAGGGTGGGGGCTGGCAAATTTGATGAGGTCAAAATATTTATTTCCAACTTGCAGGCGGCCAAATTATTTATTTTCACGAAGTCCAGGGCTAGAATATTTATTTTTTGTTCGTTCAAAAATTGTTACAAGAACATTGGTTGATCCAGCGTCCACAGGCACGTGCAATTGAAAATGTCTCTGAATATAAAAAATCCTATATACCTTAATATAACACAGGCACTTGTCTCTGAAAAAAAGGTATATAGGATTTTTCAGAGACAAGTGCCAAGGGGTGTAATTGCCCAAAATACAGCTGATCTAATCGATGCAATTTTTTTGTTAACGATTTTGTAAACAAATTTATATTTTTTCGGTCATGGGGGCGTATGCGTATGTGAAAAAAATGAAAATAAATGTATAAATTGTATGCGTCCGAAGCGCTTTTCTGGATTATCTGTTACTATTGTATACCTTTGTAAATGTGGCGATTGAAGCGAGCCAACAATATTTTGAACATTTTTGGATACTTTGTGCCAGAATATTTATTTTCATGTGTAATAAGGCAAGATTGTTTATTTCCAACTTAATAGGGGCAGAATATTTACCAAATGTAAGCCTATAGGTATAATTATGATAATATATGCCTTCCAATAGAAAATTATATCTACCTTTTTTTATCAATGTGTGTGCATTTGGTTTGAATTTTAAGTTTAACTATGCAGCTCGCAAAGAGAACCACCGTTCAAGATAAATGCTGTATCATATTCTAACAGTCTTTAAAGTTGTGTAATGATATGTTGAGGCCGGTCGAGATGACCAATGTTTAAGAATTTTTTCGTATTTTTTTTTATTTCAAGTGATATTCGTTGGACAAAGCGTCATAACTCTTTTTTAAATTATTACAAACTGAATGTCTTTTTCTCTTCTCAGGTACCCAATACCAAACAAAACTGAAATAAAACTGAAAAATTTAATGCCTTTATGATATTTGTCATCTGTGTATACAAATGAACAGATTGACACATTTTGAATAGTCGTTAGGTATTTTTGATGCAGAATACTCTTTATCAACTTCTTTTTGTACCTTTTAAAATGAAGTTGGAATGTCTATATAGTAATACGTAAGAAATGTCGAAAAAAAGGACGGCTCTAATAAAGAACTCTTTATATCGGACGTACCTAATGCATACTATAAGTGATGTAAATGCATCAAAAGTATTATTCACAAATGCATCACTCGATTTTCTGTAGGAAGATAGACAACTGTCATTCCCTTACGTATACCATATATGTTTATCGCCTACTTTGTAATTTATATTATTGTGTCGCTTACATATGTAGTGTTTTTCCTCTAATAAATAAATCGAATCCAACAGAAAAATCCCCACCAAGAATTGGAGAGGAAGAGATTTAACTTTGATTCGCAGTACCTTATGTCGCAATGATAACTTCATTAGTATTGTCATTACTTTATGCTCCGGTCGTTCTTCATTGAAAATAATGAATGTCTTTATACAGAGCACACGTCGACGTCAACTATTCGCCACTAAAACATGATGCTTTTTAAAAAGGGAAAATTCACAAAAAAAATATGAAAAATTGACATTGTGTTCCTTTTGTATAAATAAACATAAATTCAATAATACTAATGTTTTATTCCACTGGATAAGTGCGCAAAATTGATATTTAATCTTTATGCTCCGGTTGTTCTTCATTGAAAATAATGAATGCCTTTATACAGAGCACACGTCGATGTCGACTATGTGCCACTAAACATGACATTCTTCCATACAGGAGCCAACCACTTCTTTTCATCATACACATATTTGGAAAATCCAAATACAGACCAAAATTCTTAGACATAAAAACGAACACTCATTATACTAGACAAACTAGCATCCAATATCTTAGATATTACTCACTATAAACTCTTCTAATCTTTCATCATTACAAAAAAAGTTAAATCACAAAAATACTGAACTCCGAGGAAAATTCAAAACGGAAAGTCTCTAATCATGCAAATGGCAAAATCAAAAGCACAAACACATCAAACGAATGGACAACAACTGTCATATTCCAGACTTGGTACAGGCATTTTCTTATGTAGAAAATGGTGGATTGAACCTGGTTTTATAATCTTTCATCATTACAAAGAGTAACCAAAAGAAGAACTCATTTTCCAAAGAAAGTCCTTCCGACAAAAAATTAGACGTTTACAATCTGAGAAATCCTCTTCCTATGAAAATCCTGGCAGTTTGTATTGCAAAATAGGTTCTCACCAGCTTGCCCGCCCGACATCGACCTTCTATAACTCGGAAGCACATTACCAGTATCGCATTTGTATATATATATATAAAAAAAACTGTATCAACTGCCAGTTAAATTAGTTAAGCATTGACAGTATACTAAACACAACTTACTTATATATGAATCACAAACCTGAGTTGTGTGTTTCTGATATTTCCGATTTGCTTAACCACAATTTGATTGGAAACTGATTCTGCATTAGTCTCCTTGTGAACAGCGGTATGTTATTGTGCCTTCTATTTGGTCTAATAAGCATCTCCCAAAACTCTCTAAATGCATACTTGTAAACAGAAGTAAGGAAAGGACTTCTGAAGTACTGTGCCAAAGTGAATTGTTCTTAAAATTCAATAACTGTTATTTCAAATAGAAAACCTTCAGTTTTTAGTTCTTTTCAAACTTTCGACTTTTCTATACTTGCACTTCAGTCCCTCGCTTAATTAACATTTCTAATCTATAACATCGGGTTTTTTTCCAAGCAAAATGGAGAAAGAAGATTTGCATACTAATGCACAGCATTGGGTTAAGGCATAGAAGATAACTACTTTTCCAAAAACTTCCTTCGCGGATCCAAAATTGAAAAAAAACTCTGCTTGATATTAATGGAATGTTAGAGTTTTCAAATTATATGTTGATACGAAACATCCCTTCCATGTGAGTAGCTATGCTAGGCAAATATGAGAAGTGAACTGACCTCACAGCTTATCCCCCTTTAATTTGGAACTGTAATTGCTTACTATAATTAAGTACTAGGGTTATAAAAAATTGATATTTATAACCTCACACCGTAGCTCTTCATTTCAGAGAGCCATTTCTTGCTCCATTAAAGGTAAGTAATCAGAAAAGTCCGATTACTCGTGTTGTATGAGTGCCAAGCTGTCTGCACAAAAAGAAAACAACATTGCAACTAACTCTCTGAGGGATCGTTTAGTGACCTGTAGCAAGGTAAAATCTCACGTTATACATCCCGCCATCGGTGTTTTTAACTTTTTAACTTAAGGCATTCCTCGTGCAAGTGGGTCGTGAGGTGCGATTCGGACACAAAGCGTTTTTACAGTGTTGTTTCTATTTTGTTTACCCTTGTATTCATTTTTACTTAATGTTTACTTTATCGAGAAAGTGTATATATTATATTATTATACAAGGTATGTACTATCAACGAAAATCATTGTCAAATTCAAAATTTACTATCTACTACACCCTTTTTGTTGGCGTCTTTGTTAGATTATTTGTATGTTTGTTTGAACTTTCAGTTGTGTTGTATGTCTGTGATGTATGTTTACACAGTATTGGCTTCTGGATCCCAATTATTGTCACATTTACCTATAATGTCTGTTTGGGTTGCTCACCCAATTTTGTCAATATAACGGAACTATAAGAAACTGTCATACAAGTGGGAGGTTTAGCTAGCTATAAAACAAGTTTTAACCCACCATTTTCTTCGGAAAATGCCTGTACCAAGTCAGGAATACGGCAGTTGTTTTCACTTGTTCCGTTGATTGATGGCGTTTTATTTTTTCAGTTTTTATGAACTTCCCCTTTTTGAATTTGCCTTGGAGTTCGGTATTTTTGTTATACCTTTCTATCCTTATTTCTAGTAGGTAGTTCTTTATCCTGGACTAAACTTTTGTATGAATTGTTAAACTATTCTCGTCCTGAATAGGCCAAATAGTAATAATTTCCACTGGGCGTTGAGTAAGTGACAATCCATCAATCCATCAATCAATCAATCAATCAATCAATCTTTAACACGTTCTTATATTATAGTATAGTAGAGGCAATATATGTAGGCAATATATGTATAGTGGAGGCAATATGCATATAGTAGAGGCAATATATGTAGGCAATATATGTATAGTGGAGGCAATATGTATATAGTAGAGGCAATATATGTAGGCAATATATGTATAGTGGAGGCAATATGTATATAGTAGAGGCAATATATGTAGGCAATATATGTATAGTAGAGGCAACAGTAGTACTTAATCGATGTTCAAATCTCGTTACTTCGTTTTGCAAATACAAATCATGATCAATTAGCATTAACTCTCAACAAAGTTAGAAAGTGCGACGACAGAGTGTGTGTCTAAAGCTTTTGATGCATTTATATCCACAATGAGAATCAAGACTCATTTACAATGTCATAATACGGAATATGACATGTTTTGTGGCTCTGTTTTTTATATGAAAATCCCACAGGCACTTGTCTCTGAAAAAAAATTCCTATATACCTATATAGGATTTTTTTCAGAGACAAGTGCCTGTGGAAAATCCATATAGGCTAAACGTTATGATTTTACAAACAGGCTATATTCCAAGACATTATTGACAAAATCTTATCGTTATCACGTGCCTTGATGTATCAAATTCAAGCTTCAGATACATTTTCTGTCTTGTATCAGTGAAACAAAAATGATTGATAGACTGTTTTTGGTCCGGAATTAACATTTGGAATCATTTTGGTATAATTGATGTTGAATAAATTAAACTGCATAATTAAATAAATGTAATACGACTATTATACAGAGTATGTATGCTTTTATTATCAAATATTATATCAGCATTTCAAAATACAAAATCTTATGATGATGTTTTCTTAAATAAAATCTATTCCCACTATTGTTAGCTTTCAGATTGAAGCAATTGTTGTCAAATGGAAGACCACACATAATTCTTAAATACTGATAAAGATTGTATGTTTCACTATAAAAACTGAAACAAAGACTATCTTAGACTAAATTAAACGAGGACAAAGGGTATCACCCTATAATGAAGTTTTATGGGTTTTTCCAATGAACTATTTGTATCTCTATGGAACCAAAACGTCGGAAAAATCACAAATAAGGGAACGAAGATGAATTTCCACATCTTAGAATCTGTGCAGGGAACACCTATCCTCCAGCATCCGTTCATATATATCTGTGATAACTTTTGAATAGTTTACAATTCATTTTTTGTTTGAATTCGATTTGTTTTGTTTTTTTGTTGTTGAGCCTTCTGCACATATGAACATTTCTATGACACCTTAAAACAGCTGTATGCACAACATATTATTTTCATTGAAATACAAAATAAAATTACAAACAACATTATAATTAACTAATACTAAGTACAACTGAGTATTTATAAAGTAGAAACACCAATTATTTGGATATTTGGTAAAGGCAAAATATTTTTTACCTTTATTTATTGACCAATCGATCACTTATCTTTTCTAATTGACGAAAAATATAGGCTCTCAAAAGTCCGAATAACTACTAGGAAATATAACCATGATAACTCAACTGATAAAATATTTGCATTTTTAAAACCGTTAGCGACCGTTGTAGTAATCACATTAAGTAAACATTGAAGGATGTACTTTATAGGTCAGGTTCAGGAATTTTAGTCAGATGTTCGGACTCTTTGCTTTTTTCCTACGATACACGGTAAAATAGTTTGCCACATAACCCCAATTTTTCTTTTCATTACGACTTCAATAGCTTATAATAGGTAATTTATCAAAATTTAAGCAAATTCTAGATTTCTTTTCTTACGATTTGAGACCAAAATAAAACCAATGCAAATATAAGGTAAAAGTCCGAGTCAGCCTTTTCCCGCCATTTTTAGAAAATTGAATATCTCAAAAAGGAGTTCCTTAACTTATCAATATTTTTAGTTTATTTTGTTCCTTAACTAATGCTCTTCTGATTTACCGTATCCATTTTAGATTAAATATTTTTTTAATTTCACCTAAGTACATCCTTAAAAACAACTAAGTTGCAGCTACTGTTTTAGTTTCAATATTTAATCAAAAGAATTGTAATAAATCATGCAGCAATGTTTCTAGGTGTATTTGGAACCGGCTTATTGTCCTACATCAGCTGTATCCATCCCGAAAATTAAATACAAAAGTAAGTATGAGGTAGAAGAGACTGTTGAGTATATTTCAAAAATGAGTCAGCACAATAACGGCTTAATATCATATCACATATTTGTACAAAATACAACACAGTGAACGTCAGATATACACAGTAATTTAAAAAAAAAAGTATTCTTTTCTATGAGGATGGGATGCAAATTTACGCGGTAAGTGCGTGGGTCTATTTTTTTGTTTTGTTTTTGCGTTTTTAGAAAAATGTACATACATTTTTTTTTTCAATTCAACATACAATAGTATATCAAACAAGTGAATATATATATTATTTAAGGCTGAACAAAGACCAATCTCTTCATAATAAATCCTGTCGCAAAATATATTGCCAAAAACGTACATAAAAAGAAAACATCATTGATAAAAATCAATTTGTTGCTGATAATTATTTTTCAATTGACGTTTGCCAAATAGTTTTCAACCTTTCACAAATCTCAATCCTGATGGTATAATAAATATTACAATGATTACAGCAGTACGTCATATGATACACTAGGGCTTATATACAAATCCCGTGAGATTTTGTGACATGATATTAACTATTATTTTTTCACCATTGATGAAAGAAGATCAATCGGCAGTGGGAATATAATGGTCGAATTTTTCTCAGCGGCTATGGAATTAAGTGTCTGTAGGTATCGCAGTTGTATTGCCGCGGGAGATTCCATCATTATGTCGGCTGCTTCTTTTAAAGCACGTGACGCCTTCTGTTCGCCTTCTGCTGCTAGAACCTAATAAAACAGTAAAGTTTATCGTTATGAAAAAATGAAATACACATATTTTATCTATTGCTAAAAGTTTTATTTCAGTAATAGTGTATTACATTATCTAGATAATTATGAAATTGATATACCGTGGTATTTTTAAATGAAAAAAGATATTTTAGGTCAGCGAGACAGGGAAACAACATTTTATGCTAACGAAACTGCATATGAAGAGATTTCAAACAGAGAAAAAAACATATGATTGCATTTCGTGAGCAGAACACTTGTTTCTAGAATGACCTTATGTGGGAGACCAAATAATTTAAAGAGTCGCACATTAAACCGTTGTAGAGCACAAAAACCAAAAGAGACATAAATGAGATAGCCAATCCATATAAAGCCAATTTTATTTGAGGGAATGTCAGCCTAACTTTAGCACAGCTACATATTTTTTTACAAGGGGACAAAAGTAAAATGTTTCATTTGAATTGTGCCATTACCGAAGCACTAGTTATTAAACGGATGGTACCAATATGGACAGCAAATCCACAAGCAATGGTACCAACCAAATATTCACAGGCACAAACCTATAACATGATGTGTGTACATACAACAAGCGATTGACAATCGCCCACACTGTCTTATGACAACCTTGAGAATTGCCAAGAGTCTAAAAATGTTGACAAAATAGCGGCAAAAACAGGGACATACACATCCAAAAACGGATACTCCTTAAAGGAAAAAGTTTTTTGGAGATTTATTTGCAGGTTAATGGACATGCGTCTGACCTGCTCATTTAAATCATTCCTTTAACCAACAAATCTGAATTCGGATTACTGGTCTCATGTATAAACTATATCAGTATTACTAGAATGTATACACTAACATTGAAATTAGAAATACTATATTACCTTAGCGCGTGCTTCTCTTGACGCCTCTGCTTCTGCCGCCATTGCTCTCTGTAGTTGTTGTGGAAGACGAACATCTTTACTGTGAATGAAGTTTAAGAATATATAACTATCTTAGAAAAAGAGGATTCAGTGGATTATGAGAACTGTCCTATGTTTAATTAAAGATTCTAATATGACGTGCTTCTTTCGCTTTGTAAACAACACCGTGATAAAATTCTCGATATATCTATACTTAGCGCAGACTCAGAGATGTGCATATTGGTGGCTGTTACTATTTACCTCCCACGTAAATCCACATGTATCGTAACCTATGTGCAAACACTATGTCGATTTCGTTATGTTCAAATTGAAATTGAAAAAGAAACTACAGAACCGTTATTCCTATTCTAATGCATAACAAAAAGAATTAATGCACAAGGGCTTAAAAAATGTATAAAATCAAAATAAAATAAAATTCCGCGAAATTTCATGAATAATCTTGGCGCATTAACGTCATGTGATAATATGACGTCATACGAATGAAAACTCTCAAGCTGAAGGTTTTCCGTTACGTTTACGCCCTAAATTCGGATAATATTGCATTAAAATGGAGTTTTGAGGTAGGTGTTGTTTCATTTTCTATTCCATTGCATTCATTTGCACATTTGTGAATTTCAGCAAGTCAACATGGCGGCTCACTCCTTAGTTACGACATGTCAACTCTGGATTTAACAGTAAATAGTAGCCAACGAAAAAAAATGTTTGGGTTAAGAATTATGAGAATTGAACACATTTTTTCTAGTGCTTATTTAAGAAATAATTCATGTAAGACTTTGATTTAGTTGAAATTTGTAGCTTTTATCTTACAGGGGGTAAAATAGAACAGCCATACACACGGCAATCTTACCTTCGCTTCAGTTTTTAAATTACGGTATTTGTCCTATTAGAATCGAAATAATTCATGGAAGCCATATATTTGTTGGACATTTACACATGGCCTGGGCCGTGATACTCGTTAATTTTATCCCTCGCTAACGCTCAGGATAAAATTCGAATATCACGGCCCAGGCCATGTGTAAATGTCCAACAAATCTATGGCTTCCATGAATTATTTCTTAAATCAAAACATCAGTCACACGACGTGCGTTAACCAATCAAAATCCTAGAAATATACTAAGCCGGGGATAATATATAACCATTCAATCCGAGCGATCGTCATGTTATAAATTTCTAGGAAAAGTCAGCGACAGTAGTAGTAACCATAGTGATAAATTAAAGTAGGTAGTAGACTACACAATATACTAGTAAAATAAGACTTGTAGAGCTTTTAACCGAAACACATAATAAAATAAATATATGCATTAAGGTCAAGGTTGCAAGCGTGCATAAAACAGTAAAGCAGCTACAGTAAATAATTGAATTATACAGCATACATATACATGTAGTAATCCTTCTTATTCTATGGCATATTTCTTAAAACAACGATAAAGTACTAAATATATACAATAGATCTCCCATGCAAATATGTGGTAGTCATAATTTATTCTAACCAGAATAATATGTGTAGATTTCACTGATATCCAGTACGATGAATATCTGACATTAATTTGATACGATCTGATGATCTGTTTATACACACAGACTCCGTATTAATCAAACTAGCTTGTCGATAAGGTAATGCATTTTAAGTTCAAGCAAGATATATTTAGACCCGATCGATGGAAGAAATGCGGAAACTCGGTGACCGATAAACGGCTTACTGAACTGACTTCTGTTATAACACGAATGATCAATTTAGCTGAGTTACAGTGATATTCATTTATCAATTTTAAAAATTCTTAAATATTAAAACAATTGCCAAATAGCAATCTAATTAAAATATAGATCTCTGATTTCGTTATCCTTGTGCTTCGACGGAATACGCGAGTTCCGATTGATCTGAATTTTAATCAGATTGGCCAAATAGAATTGTATTTTTCAAATATATTTCTTTTTCTAAATGGTAACTTTTTCTTTTGTCGATTAATTTTCTTCGTACTTCATGGTTGGTTTTTTTATGAAGGGCCATATAGATTCCCCGTCAATCTGAAAATAGTTACGATTGGGTTGGATGTTACTTTATGAAATAATTATAATAAATTCACCATTTACATTTCAAATCTGAGTGACTTTAAAAATTCTAAATGACAAGGAACTAACAGCGATATGCATGCATCTATATTTCTATTCTCTTTAACGGTGCACGTATATTGCTATGGAAGCAATTTGCTTGTGACCTACACTCCATACCTCACTAGCTTTTGTAGATTTCATCTATTTGAGGGTTATATTTTAGAATACATTAATTGCTAGAGTTCCTTTTGTTAATATTTCGCACTTTAGTCCAAAGACAAATATGCAATAGTGGTATATCAGTGAAATGTTTTCTTATTGCTTAAAGCAGAATATTTTACATGTAACTCCATATTACATTTTGGTATATCACTGATACTAGCTGCGAAATTATTTTAAACTGTATACTTGTAATACCATTTTGTTATTATTTGGATCATGCTGATCATCTTACGAGGAGGAACGACTGAAATTGTTATTCCATTCGTCACTCCATGCAGTCATGATTTGATCGATGGTTATTTTGTCCTAAGTACTTACATGTTTACATGTTCACGCATGGCTACTTACATTTCAACTCTTTCTACTTTGATACCCCATGGGTCAGTCGACACATCTAAAATGGTCTGAAAAATACAACCATGACAATAGAATTTGTTTATTTCAAAACGGCTTTATGCCAAAATAATTATATTACATGTGCTTTCATAAGAATACGTACAATTAACTGACTGAGAACAATTGAGAAGCATGCCAAGATCAGATTTTCTTTCCCAATAAAATGCAATATTCATGACAGCACGTGCTTCCCGATACAACATCGTCATAACAATGAATAAGAAAACAAACGAAAAATTGATGTAACTCGTTTTCACGGTTGTAACATATAAAATGTAATAATAAGAATTGAATACAGACGATTACTTCTTTTTGTAACTTTATAGGGTTGGAAAGGCGTTGTTTGTGTGCACATTTTTTAATATGAAACGCTTCAATTCTTGATTAAAAACGGATAGTATGTCACTTCAGACTCTCACTAACAGCAGAAATATTTAACGTATACAAAATTATGATATTCATTTTTGACGATCGTGTGAGACCCTCATGACGGTATAGTCAGGGAAATTAGCCACCTCCCCCGAAATAGTACTTGAACTTAGTATGTTACTACGTAGCTAAGTTTTCAAAATAAACTGCTATTTAAGAAAAACAATCATCTTTTGTACAAGTAACTCACAAATACGTGATAATTTATGTAGATTTCAAGATAAAAGTTCTATTCGTGTTATGGAATTATTATTTCCCCGTTAAAATTACATAATTTTTTGTTTGAAAACTTACAGACTCATCAAATTTTCAATTTGATAAAACTGTGTGTAATCTGACGGAATATCACATGGAATCTTAATAGGCTATCTTTTTGTACAGAAGACAATTATTATACCATATATGATTGCAAAATTTATCTGTTTTTGTAAAATTATGTATTGAAGGCAATATCGAAAATAATAATAATACTACATTTATGTTATTTTAGTAAATATTAAAATATTTTTTTTATCATTGGCACTGTGAGAAATAGATTTCGGTACATTCATGAAAAATTGGCAATATATCTTCAAGAATGTCATATGCCGACTTAATATGTATAATATACTGCTATATTATAAACTCTAATCTTCTAGACAGCTTTATTTTGTTAATTCATGAGATTGTTACACGGCTTAAAATCGAAGTAACAAACCTGCATTTGTTCTGAAATTGTTTCTCTTTCAGATAACAATTCCGACATGTTTTTGGTGCCAAGGACGTTCCTCAAGGTCGTAGCTGCTAATAACTTTGTAGAATACTGTGCATTCTCTACATTACAGACAGACATGGTTGGATCGAATATTCTACTGTAGACCACAGCATCAACAGCTACGGTCACAGAATCCTTTGTCAAAATCTGCAAAGGAGGTAAACACTAATCATGCGCTGTGAAAGAAGTTTGTTTTTTTTAAATCAAGTTTGTATTTTAAAATCAAAAAAACTTTACCATTAAAATATGTTTTACACGTCTACATGTGGTCGGGACCGACAAAAAATAAACGATAACTTGTTAAAATAGTCAATCAGTCTGCTTAGAATTTGAAGAAAAAGAGAACTTTTTAGTCAACAACATCGAGAAGTAAAGTGATTTGTGTGTCGTGACCCTTTAAAAGACAAATGAAGACTGAGAGAAAACTTACCTCTTGTGGAGGAACATCAAATGCTGTCGTACGTAAATCTACTTTCTTAAACTCGTCAAGGCAGGGGTAAACGAAGAACATTCCTGAAGAAACAAAATCAGTTAGCTTTACCAGTACGTTTTATTGAAATTTAAATATTCTTCGACTACATGTGTTTCGACGGTGTCACCAATTTTAACTTTAAACTTAAATCTTACTTTTTAAAGATGTTCACTCTCCATGTATATGTATATATTTCATCAATGACTTTCATCAGGTAAGTCGGATGATTCTTGATAATGTTTTACTACAGCAACAAAAGGACAGCAACAGAACAGCTAACATAATTCAACTTTGCATACTGACGTTGCAATCGTACGTTTGGTACTATTATAAAAATAATGTGAATTTGAAACTAAATTTGCCAGAAAATATCACACGAAGAAGCTCTCCCGACTTATACACAGTGTTCTTGATTTTGATATGATACTGACATACAGTATTTAATAACGAGGTAACAATGAAAACATGTGATTATTTTATGCTGTGTACACTATATATGCTAGCATACAATTCATCGAACTACCACCTTCAGGGGCGGATCCAGCCATTTTTAAAAGGTGGGTTCCAACCCAGGATAAAGCGGGGTGGGTGGTTCCAACCATATGTCCCTATTCAAAAGCATTGATCGTCAAAAAAAGGTTCCAACCCCCGGAACCCCCCACCCTGGATCCGCCACTGCCCTTTCATTTGAAGAAACATTTCATATCAAGAACACCGTGTTGTCCAACTTCATCCCGACTTATTTCAAGGCGTTATAATTTTTTTTTATTAAATGCAATATGACAGGGAAATTTCTTGTTTAAAAACTAATATTCGTAATTTTGGATTAGTCTTGAAAAACCCCACTTATTTACACAACACATTAGCGAATGATTTACCAATATCAACAGGCCCTAATCGTTACCTATAACGTACGGGTCGGAAAACCACCTCATTATAGATGCTGACATACCCAGTCTTCGCGCCCTACTATTCGTCTTCATTTTATAATCACATCATATTAGCTACAGACATACCTGGCCCTTTGGCCCCACCGGATACAACTCGCCCCAGTCTAAAGATTACCGCTCTTTCATACTCCTGGACTATCTGTAAATATAAGAACAACTCAATAAAATTCTTGTGAACATTCAAACCATAACATGTTAAACAATGGGTAGACACTGTCGTTTTAACTACCAATCACAGAGTAGGTGCCATGTTGCAATCACCTTGTCCGTCCTCCGCCCGTTCATCTGTCCGTAAGTTTTTTTTACATATTCCTCAGCTTTTTAATTAAGAATGATTTAATATTTAGTCTGGAACTTTATAATATTGTGGTGTACCATGCAAACGATTTTAACAACCCAGATCTGCCAGACAGTCATTTTCTGTTTTGTGATACTCTGCATTTATTGTATCCACTGACCTACCTGACTGAGCATGTATTTGTTCGTCAATTCAAGTATCTAATAACGAGTATACCTTGCAAGACATCGCGTGTAAATTCTTGTGTTTTGTTGGATTTTTTATATTTTATCAATTTTTTAAAATTTTTAGTGCATCCAAATAATTCTGAATCCTTGTATCCTATACTTTTTGACAAAACATGATGTGTTATGTGCATTTGATTGAGAAATGTGAAAACATATTTATCCTTACACGTTCATTTTGCACGCAACACGAAATTAATCAAGTGTTATGTTCATTTAGGGAACGAATTTCTTTTACATTGAATTCGGAACTATACGTTTATTTTCTAATACTTGGTCAGTCGGTTCGCAAAGGAACCATACCCACAGTAAATAAGAAATCGGTGCTTTGGTTCTGACATAATTTTAATTGTGTATTCGGTTTCACAAAAAATGTCAGTTTATCAAATTACCTTCCAAACAATTACCGGATTGCCGTTGGAAAACTCGGTCAAAAAGGAACGACGTATATTTAATAAACATCTGAATTTAATAACATACAATGTCAGCAATTTCATAGGTAACAAACAATCAGCTGATTTATAAGAAATGTAGTTTTTTGCCAATTAAATATAAATGGATATGAGTTTGGTGAATCATTTTTATGTTTTATTTTAGTTGAACAGTGAAGTTACCGATGTGAGTTTCATATTAGAATATTGACTTTTCTACACGTAATTACTTTTTATGAACTATAAACCAGTCAATGTTTAATCAAATCTCATGTCAATGTTATATTTAGTGATTTACACTGAAAACTATACTACATTGTATAATGTACTTTTTAGTATAATTTTGCTTAATCGAACAAACATTGTCTGTCTGTACTATTCTAAAATAAGATCCTAAGCATATTTACAGTTCATTATCAGAAATGTTAAAAGAATAATAAGATCATATAGTCTTCTTGACAACCACACAAAATCAATATTCAATACCAACTTTTCAGATTGATATTTTACATTATTTATATTTGAAGCTAGCCGTATCAGAATTATGTCAAAAGGAATGCACGACTATATTTATATATTGATCGAACTAAAATGAAAATTAAATGAGGGGCGTAAAGGGGGGTATCTGCACGGAAGAACGCGAAATAAAATTGCCATTTCACGATGAACGAACAATTTTAAAAAAAATTCTTGCACGTTGATCTGTTTACCGATTTCACGAAACACGGTGAATAACGAACCTTTTTCACGGCTGCACGTGCCAGAAATAAAAATGGCAAAACACGTTGCATGAAAATAACCCTTTACCACTCTCTTAAATGGAAAAATTTAAATCATTATCAAATTATATTACTTTGAATGATTATAATAGAATTTCTGAAGCAGCAAATTGATGTTGACAATTCCCTTGTCGTGTTCATGGTGTTATAAAGTAATAACTATGATTGCAGGGAGAATTGGAAAGTTCAGACAAACCAGAAAATCATGCTATATGTACTAATACAAACTAAGTCAAGTTGAAATAATCTCGCTTGAAATAATAAACATTCACATTGTAATTAAAAGTGATACTGTCACATGATATTACATATGTAATTAATGTTTACGTGAAGAGCGAACAGATATGAGGTTAAAAATAACACAAGAGTGCACACACTGAAATGTTTCGCCTGCTTTACTTTTCCGTATATCATAATTGAATATATGTTGAAATTCTGTAATATGAAGGTTTTGCTACAAGTATCATATATCATATACACTTCACATTATCAATGATCAATTTCAATGAGGTCAATGTCAAATGAACCCTGCCATATAAACGGGTACACCTTACATTCATACCATACACCAAATACAGCCTATTACTTATAGCATATAAGAAGACCTAATTAAACATATTGAACATTGACCAATGAATCATAAAATGAGGTCAAGGTCAGATAAACCCTGCCAGACAACATGTACACCATACAATCATTCCATACAACAAATAAAGTTGACTTATTGCTTATAGCAGCAGAGAAAATTACACAACCATGCAGACTTAACATTGACTAATAAACAATGAAAATACAGTCAAGATCAGATGAACCTTGCCAGATAGACATGTATACCACATCTTCTTATATCTACTTACAATCATTCCATATACCAAACATAGTGACCCTATTGCGTACAGTATCTTAAAAATAGACCAAACCGGAAAAATTTAATATTGTCCACTAAACAATGAAAACAGGTCAATGTTATATGAAACCTGCCACCTAACAATCATTCCATACATCAAATATAGTCGCCCTATTGCTTATAGTATCTGAGAAACAGACCAAAACACAAACATTTAACTTTGATCAATGAACCATGAAAAAGATCAATTTGGGCACTGAATGTTAATGAGTGAAAAGTAGTGTGTTGTTCACTCGGCAAGTATCCTGTTTCTGAAAAAAGAATACTGAGGCTTAATGCCATTAAACAAATACAATGTATCTAAAAAATAGAGATATGATTTTAGTACTACAATATTTCCAACTTTTGATTAACATACCTTTATCGTGAAACATAAGGAAAATGGAAAGAACAAAACCACTAAGATGATTGACAGCGCGTACAGTACATAGCCACATGCTCCAAGGTCACCTCCATTATCTGAAAAGGAATGGATAACTAAGATGAAACATATAAGTAGTAAAATATAAACGTGTCATCAAACTTATTCGTTCATTGTATATTTACTTGTTTGTGAATGTGTCTTTTTGATCGATTTAAGCCATTTCAATTGATATTTTATTGTGTGTCTTTTTATGTTGTAAGGTTACACCACTGTTTCAGGTTAGGGTGAAGGTTGGCGCCTGTTAAAACGTTTAAACCCGCTGCATTTTTATGCACCTGTCCTGTCAGGAGCCTGTTGTTCAGTAGTTGTCGTTTGTTGGTGTGGTTCATAAGTGTTTCTCGTTTCTCGTTTTTTATATAGATTAGGCCGTTGGTTTTCCTGTTTGAATTGTTTTATACTAGTCATTTTCGGGCCCTTTATAGCTTGCTGTTCGGTGTGAGACAAGGCTCCGTGTTGAAGGCCGTACTTTGACCTATAATTGTTTACTTTTTACTCATTGTGACTTGGATAGATAGTTGTCTCATTGGCACTCATACCACATTTTCTTATTGATATGTCAGCCAGTCTTCCAAAGAATCAGACAATGTTTAGAAATGATAATAATAATAACCATGATAACCTGCAATATTAAGAATTGCAACATTAGTTTTGCAGATATTTAAACCGATGATGGTTATTCAACAAATGTCAGTTGATTATTCTGTCAACTGGTCTGTATCTCACACTTCTCATTTTATGTAATATGATAATTATAGTAACAAGGGGCTCACCCTAGCCTGTATCGCTCGCTTGGTGAAAGTGTGCACATCTCCTAATTTTTATAAATACTAGTTATTGCTTGTGTTGCTGATAATTTTTGCAATTTACACTTTATCTCAGCTCTTACAGTCTTTAAGATAGCCTAAAAACTTCAAAAATTGTGAAAATCGACATTTCGGGGGCAAAAAAACCCATAACAGATAATCCGATTTTCACTAACTATCAGTGTACATAGATCTTGCAAAGCTAATAATTTTACTGAATTCACACTTTTAACCTAGTCTTAAAAACAAAGTTAACAAAAACGAAAACTGGTTACTCCTATACGGCTTGCCGGATTTTTCAAGAATTTTCAGTGTAGATAAGTGCTGTTTAACCTTTCTCTTTTATTTTTTGAAACTATAGCAAAGAAAGGTAAAAATTAACAATTCAAGGGCAATAACTCAAAAACGGGATGATAGATTTTTTTTTTTAGAATTTTCAGGGTGCATAGAGTTTGTCCTGCTGACCATTTTGAAACATATGTTCTACGGTGACCATGTTGGTTGTTCGACGAAAATCTCTGATTTACCATGTTTTACATAGCAGTAATCCTATAGATAGACATATTTTGGTTTCAAACTAAAGAACGTTTTTTAGAGAAAAGTTTACGAACGACAGACGCAAAGTGATAGCATCAGCTCACATGGTCATTCCGGCAAGGTGTCAGAGCTAAAAATGACCGGGTTACAATATTTTTTCTGTGAAGGCTTTAAACATGAATATCTTTTATCAAACATGAATATCTTTTATGGAACAAATCCTCACCTAATAATATTGTGAAAAATCTAAAATCTAGGGTTTTTTTTTTAATTTGTTTGTATAGAATGCGCATTCATGCGCTATAGGATACTATAGGTAGCTTTTAATATACTAGTATGTGTTGAGGTTCTAGCTCCCTTATTAACTTTAATTGGCTGCTATTGTGTTTATGTGTTTTACCGAAAAGGGTATACATGTATATCGAATAAATACATTAATGTACTACCGTCTTGAAAGTTTACATCACAGTGATAATATTATGTTTGATCTCTGTAAGAAAATTTCAATACAACTATTGTCAAGAAGAAATGCACATTTCAAATATAACAATATATAAATAGCACATAGCTGAGAGGGTGATAGAGCAGATTATTACCCCGAGAAAACCTTGTCAACTGAGGCGAAGCCAAGGTTAACAATGTTTTTTCGAGGGGTACCAATCTGCTCTATCACCCTCTCAGCTATATGTTATTTAATTTATTATACTGAATGTCATATCATTATAGACTTTTACTGTTGAATATAAAATTTGAAGTATTTTACTATGACGTCACGTACATAACAACGTTACATGTATTATAAAAATCAACAGAATTGAAGCAAGAATTTTTTATCTTATTATTTTGACAGTCTATAAAAAGGTTCTGAGCCAAAACGTAGAAATTGAGTATTGTTTTTAATTATTTTATGTAAATTCAATTCATTGCTCTTTTAAAGTCCTATTTATCTAATCGTAAACAACAAATTAAAGTCAACAATGTTCTGAGTGATTTGGCTGACATCCATAAAGGCGTACCACAGGGTTCTATACTAGGGCCATTGTTGTTTAACATATTTATAAATGATATTTTTCTTTTTGTTAAAAATGGTAGTTTATATAACTATGCAGATGACAATACTTTGTCTTTCTGTACTCCAGATTTTGATTTATTAATTTCAACTTTGGAATCTGAGTCAAAAATACTTATTGAGTGGTTCCGGGTGAATAAAATGCAAGCAAATCCCGATAAGTTTCAAGTTTTGGCTGTTGGCAAAAAGACTTTTGAACAAAACCCATCTATACGTATTCAAAACTCGAACCTTACATGTGAAAAAACAGTTAAATTATTAGGCATTGAAATTGACTATCAGTTAAATTTTGATGTTCATATCAGCTCAATCTGTAGGAGGGCATCACAGCAATTAAATGTTTTAAAACGTTTGGGCTCAGTTTTGGATAGACTTAGTAAACTTACTATTTTTCATACCTTTATTCTTAGTAATTTTAATTTTTGTCCTTTGGCATGGCATTTTTGCACTGAGAAAAATTCCAAAAAATTAGAAAAGGTGCAGGAAAGAGCACTCCGTTTTGTATATGAGGATTTTACCAGCCCCTACGAGGACCTCTTACTTAAAGCTAAGGTGCCCTCCTTGCAGATTAGACGGATTAGAACAATGGCTCTAGAAACTTTTAAGATTATAAATAATATAGCTCCTGTGTGCTTACAAAATTTGGTGAGTGTCAAAAAATCTAAGTATTCTTTCCGGTATGTAAATATTCTAGATGTTCCACAGGTAAAGTCAACCCGTTACGGTAAAAAATCTTTCAAATTTGCTGCTGCTACTTTATGGAACAGCCTTCCAAACCATTTCAGGACTGAAAATAGTTTTTCACATTTTAAAAGTCTTGTTCAGTCCTGGAATGGTTTGGAATGTCGATGTTCTGCTTGCAGATAATTCTTGAGATGTTTATTATTTATGTTGCTTTTGTTTGCTCTGGTCTAGCATGTTTTATTTCATTTTAAATTTGTTGCTAAATTTTTATTGCATGCTATGTAAGTGAGATTTAACTTCGTATAACAGGTTGTTTTATATGTCAAATTAGACTGTTTTTATGTTATGTATATGTTTTTATATTCGGTCAAAAGCTCCTTAGAGCTTGTGTTGTGTCTTTTAACTTATGCCGAATCAAAATAAAGTTTTCTTATCTTGTCCTTTATATTATTGATTTTTGATTGGTTTGCACGAGAGGGTGACATTAAAAAAAATGTCTCCCGCTCAGCCATGAGATAGAGTAAATTATCTCCCTCGTATTAGCCAATCAAAATCTGGCATTTTAACGTGAAGTATAATAATAACAGTTACTGCATATACCAATAAAATCGTTATACAAAGCAGACTGGTTTACATCAGAAACCCATGATGCCAGCGTAAGAAAATGTCCATGATGACGTAATAAAATCTCATAATATAAGTTATATGGTTTGCTACTGACCCCCTACGGATCCATAGAGGGTTAGTAAAAGCCATAGGGGATGAGGCCGAAGCCGAATCTCCCAAGGATTTTACTAACCTTCTATGGATCCATAGGGGGTCAGTAGTGAACCGTATAACGAGTTTATCGCACAAAGGACTTTTCCTGCTAAATTATGTATAAAAATAAGCAATGAAATACAAAAACATTAATCGATGACGTCACCATCAATAGTAAAGGTGACGTCATGAACACCATATGAAATCTATTGACCCCCAACGGATCTATAGGGGGTCACCACGTGACGGCGTTAAACCAATCATAACGTCATAATTTACCCGAGGTGCGATATTGCGTTAGAGGGAAATTCCCATATTGCCTTAGGAAATTAATATTGGTTCGAATATAATATCAATATTCCTGGAATGTAAATCTAACGTTATAAGAGATTGCATGCCATAGTTTAATTCTACATACCATTATTTTTCTCTATGTCGAATTTTAATCTAATTATGTTTTACTATTTAATTTTACATACCCTTTTGTTGCTCCATGTCGCCTTGTAGTCTCTCAAGTTCCGGGTTTGGACTTTCCAGATTGGATCTGTAGATAAAGTAATATCTACAATTTTATTTGAATAAATAAAGTACGTAGTATGATGTACACAAATATTAACAATAAAATCAATTTAAAAATTGTCAATACTGGATTCCACAGAGACAAATTTTAGCAATACATGCCATATGCGTTTAATAGGAATTAAATATCTGCGCTTACAGCAATGTTATCAGTAAAATCAATAGAAGCCTAGCATGATGAGAGAATTTATCGTTGTTTTCTACAGGGAAATTATAATATAGTGATTACTATATAGAATGTTTACAATTCCCAAGGGAGAATACATAACAGTAACTGGTACCCTGTTAGACGATTTGCGCTGTGCTTGTATAATTTTATTATTTATAGGACGTTAAGTTTACATTAGTGGATATTCCGAGCAATTATAAAATATTAAATGTTTAGCCGATAAGTGTCTAAACGAATTCTCATTGCCGTCCAGTGGCAAAATTGCCTCAGTGCACTGTGGTTTCACGCTCGCCGGCCTAAAGTGATGTATAGAGACCTTCGATTTGATTCCCGACTGGAACAAAGAGTTTTAAATTGGTATTTGCTGTTTCCCCCCTGAAGACGCTGCATTCAGGAGTAAGAGAAGAGACTGGTCGGCACGACGTATCGGAATAATGTGTTTGATTAGAATGACATGTCTCCCTGCGGATAGTTACCTTGTGAACTATTATAGCCGGGTTGAATCAAGTTCCGACTATGAAATATAAGAGGAATATTTCGCTCCTTAAACTTTATTTCAGCATTCCGGCAAGACCGGAAAATGAACTATGTTTTTGCTGTGTATGTACTGATTTTGTGTCATGGATGGATATCCCTATCCTTTGTTTTTCTATTAAACAATAATAATATGTATGTATATATAAGCATGTGCAATTAAAGAATTAACAGATGCCACTAAATATAATAATAGATCAGAATAGAAATATTAGTGTCTGCTGCAGGTTATAACACGTATTGATAATTGGTAAATTGTGTCCAAAATGTCACAGAGAGGTGTCTTCTAGCTATTCCCATATTTAGAATTTTTAATTTTTCTATTCTGTCTTTTCCAACATCAAAAGAACAATAAATCATCTGATAGTAACTAAACTATTAACCAGATTAAGAATGAAATAAAAATCATCATCTACTCTGTATAAGTTATTTATTTCAAAAAGAATTTTATAAATAAAAATGATTAACTTTATCATGTTTATCATAAATTAAAAAAATCATAAAGGTTTTAATTTTAAACAGCGCATTAATTTGACTTTTAAAATAAGCCAGGCCAAGTAACTTTGAGCACATCGTTCGAAAAACAATTTCAGGCCACCTACGCATCCCTCTTAACAGAGTACGACACTCTCCTCGGGGGGGGGGGGGTACCGCTGTGGTTCTGTTACCCCACCCTTTTCATATAATTTAGATTTTGAAAATGTATACCTTTTCTTATATTACGTAGGTAAAAATGTAACCTTTTCCCATATTGTTTGGGTTTCATGTGGTGTGTAATGTAAGAGTGGAATACCAAAGTGTCAAAAGAGAGAAAATTGGTTAATAAAAACACAGCCAGGAACACCAAGATAAATGACAAACGAAGAAGTTATGGGAACTTTATTGACCTTATCAAATATGTCTGATAGTTTTCCCGACCTATTCACATATTTTCAAGCTTAAAAGGTGACCTATTCCAGCGGCAGAGTTTTTGTTAACTTCATGGCCCTGTGTTCTAGTCATACATGTACATAGGTCATAGCACAGTTTCAAAAGAGTGTGTCTTTTGTTTCTACATGTCTTTTGAGATAACTGAACAGTCATGTTTTCCTTTTCAAATAAGTACATATGTTCATCTTTAACTATACTAATTCTTTTTTCTGAATGATTGATTTTTCTTATTCTACTCTTTACTGGCTGAAAAGTGTCATTTTGATATTTTTTACGGAGTATATAGTTAAACATTTGCTATACTCCACAGGATCCGAATTGGATGATTTACACTTTTTACTTTTTTCATTATTGATATAATACTTATTGAATGATAACTTTATTTTTTAAACTCACGGATGACAAATGCTCAGTATATAAGATAACTTGTTAACCAGTGGAACATATTTCACAGACAAGGAACTAATTTCACCAGGTGAGGAACAAATCTCACAAACCCAGAACTTATTTCACATGATAAGGAACAAATCTCATAAACCGGGAACTTATTTCACCAGGTGAGGAACAAATTTCACCAACCCGGTACTTATTTCACCAGGTAAAGTTTTGGAACTTATTTTATAGAGATGGAACAAATTATATAGAAATCATCTGTGAAAAAAGTTCTCCCAGAACATATTTTCTGTGATATTAGTTCCACTGGAACTTTTTTTCACAGAAACAAATTTTGGCTCACACTATCACCTTGTTTATAGGAAGTGGTCCCCTGAGCACTCTCCCTCCAGGGGACATTCTGACTGGACGTGACTGTGTAATTGTGTATATCACCCACAGTTAGAAATTAGATCGTGTTGGGTTCATTGATATATTTATTATGCATAGCTTAGTTTCTTAAAGTGTAAATGTATAGAAAGATGCAAACTCATGACTGAATGCGTTAGTAGTTCATAGTACACAACAAAAATATATTCACAATAGTTATTAACAAGGTCAGGTTGACCAATGTATTCTCTGACCGTGAAATGACCCGCAAAGCGTCTTTCATATAATCAAAATTTGAAAAAAAAATGGTGAAAACGGCATGGCTATTATATCGGATGTTTATAAATGTACTAGAGGATTTATCTATTATTAAAATATCAACATGAATTACAGTGGCGGACACTCTTTGCAAATCCTGGATTATCCGTCACTGAAGAAATATATTGTGATATTTAATTTTACGTTCATTTTGGAAACACAAAATGTAATAATTTTAATATAAAACTATACAAATAAACCTGAAAGACGATAAAATCGTGATAACTATTCCTTACTATGTTATAAGTGTCAACATTAAATATATCTGGAAAAGTATATATATAGCAAAATATTGTTATAATGAAATTCAATTAGTAAACTCAGACATGAATATTTGTCTGGTACTCGCTTTATTTTGATATTATTCTGTTTAAAAATAGCAATAAAGATTAACTACAAGATTAGTGTGTACATACATGTAGAATGTATTATTGAATGGTACAGCTGCAGGCTGTAGGCGTGGTATTCGCCACTAGATAAACCATGATTGTAAACTGATGCATTACACAAAATTGACATCTTGCAATTAAACAAATATTGCATTATAAGTGCTGCAAGATGTCGCGTGCGATCTATAGCGCGGCAATTTTACTGATGCTTTGGACCTACCTTGCTTAGAACTAACAAAACAGAATAAATAGTTGTATCTTATAATCCGATATCATCCGTGTAAACCGGAAGACAGAACTAAGAGATAAGTTGTCATGGAAACGAAATTATCCGTATTATAAACAAATCGATGATGACTGCTGAGACGCTATTTTCTAAATTTAAACCGCTTTATTTTTCCATAAAATATCATATACCTTGAAGAGGACATTGCAACAGTGTTTTGTTTAAACAAATCTTCGATAGCGAATTATTTAAATTTATGAATTAATCGGCTTAATGTGAATAACACACACATACGTGTACATGCAGACGGACTCAGTGATGATCAATTCATTAATATCTAATTAATGCATGATCATAAGTGTGAGGAGTTGATAACCGCCAAGCCAAATCGACATGTAAAATAAAATGGCAACTTTATCATGTTTATATCTTTGTGAAATAAATATCAATTCTTTATGCAAGATTTATTTTTTAAATGCATGTGTTAATAATGCAAAATACAAATTTTAAATAAAGATACAAAAATTTTTGACATGTATTGGTATGGATATTGCAATGTAATACAATGGGATCTGAACCAGGTGTGCTATATTGTTAAATAAAGTCTCTCTTAATACTGGGAATATAGACAATAATAGTGCATTGACTTGACATATCAACGATATAAGGATGAGGCTTAGAAACGGGGAAATGCGAGGCTCTGCCGAGCTTTTTCCCCGTTTCGGGCCGAATCCTTATATCGTTGATATGTCAAGTCAATGCACTATTATTGTCTTTATACTGCAATCTTAAAAAAAACATTTTCAATTGTTGTTTAATGTGTTATTGTTATTATTTGATTTAAATACTGAGAAACTTCCCCTTTTATAAAAAGGCCCCATATCATGCAGGCGGAGAAATATACAACACAATGAAATGTACATTACCTGTTGAAACCCGCAATCGATGGTGAACGAGTTCGTTTGAGAATGAACTAAAATATCAACAATATGCATAAAACATAATGATTTATAGTTTGCAAACCAAAAGTATTAACAAGTGAAATATGTTTTTTTTTCTCTAAAAATTGCAAAAGAAATAAGTTTGAGTCGTTGTATACATTGGAAACAAGAACAGGTTGAATAGGTCGTATGAATAATTAATTATAATTTCGGCAATTTCTATTTAAATATTCATGAGGAAAAGTGATATCAGGTCAGTGACTGTATATGACATAGAAATATACGGTCAACGCATTTTGACTGCTCAAATAGAACGAGTGCAGTATAAATATATTTATCCTGCAATCAGCCAACTATAGTACAAATAACAGGTACACAAATAAATTTTTGCTTTATTTGTACTTGTACATGTACTTGTACAAATAAAGTCTCCTGTTACTCCTCTTCCATGTTGAGCAAACGGTAATGTGGATATTTCTTTTTGCGTACCAGTTCATTTTGGGGTCCTCTTCGCGGTCCGCGTTTAAACTATGTCGATTTCTTTGAAAAATTAGAGACAATGATTTAGATTTTAACAACTAAAGTTTCAAGTGTTGGGTGTAAATTTCAGGATAAAAACAATATATGTACATTGTCGGAAAATATAAAATTTATTTGTACTCGCTGCGAAACAGGAGAAAAGCTCGGCGAGCCTCACTTTTCGTCCTGTTTCTAAAGCTCATACAAATAAATTGATATTTTCCGACAATGTACATATATTGTATATGTTCCTGCTTAATAATAATACATTATCAAACGAGACAAATCCATATCACAATGTCATGCAGACTTTTTAAGTTGTATCCGTGTGGATAATTGTGACACCGCTTAAACTGGCTCTACGATGACTGGATGATTTTGGTCTGGCCTGCAACCACTAACACACATAAAAGGACAATATATATGACGAAAAGTTCACTACTGACTAACTGTGGGAACTAACTCTTGCAACAAAATGGCGTATAAGTTCTAAGTTCAGCATTGGAAACAATTTACAGAGATGATACTGCTTATTGTAATACTAAACTCCATACTGGTAAAACGAAATAATAATACGATTTAAATACAAAAATAAAAAAAAAAAAACCTGAATGGACTTAAACATTTCTCTTAATCGATTGAAAAATAAAAAGAGTTAGTTTTCTTTGTTGTATTTGTGAAGTGTGGGTCTTTTCGTCCTCTTTTGTTTTTGCCATGGCATTGTCAGTTTGTTTTTGACTTATGAGTTTTGAATATCCCTTTGATGTCTTTCACCTGTCCTTACAGGAGTTATTCCCTTTGCTAGCAATCACATGCCTACATTTCTTGAAACATATTTTATTAGAAAATAGTTTTAAAGGGGACAAAATTGGAGTTATTGCCCTTGTACAGATAAAATATGTGCAACATAGGGAACATTGGAATGCTGTTTTTATTATTGGCCATGATGTTTGCCTGTTTTCCATCAACTTATTGTTTTTTATTGTCCCTTGGTATCTGCTTCCTTTTTGTACTTTTAATAATTTAGGGTTAACAGACGTGAGTGTAAAACACGGTATACCACAGGTAATAGAAAATTTAAACGCCATGTTTGGGTTTGAATTGAAGTTTAAAACTCAAAAGGTTTTAATATATATACCTTTAAAGGGGAATTAGCTATGATTTTGACAAAAAATTTAAATATGATTTTTGTTTGTTTCATACATTTATGAAAGTGGAATATAGAAATAATATTTTCCTACTAGGAGCTAGTTTGGTTCTTTTGTCAAAATAAGCTCACTGCTGATGAATTATTGGCTTGCAAGTCAATAATTAAATCTCATTTGAATCAATATTCATGATTAAAAGGCGATATGGTTGTGCATGTGCTTAGCATGTTCAGTTATTAAAACGATAAGAATGTCAACATTGAAAAGCTGAATCAAGGGAGCCACAAGGTAAAACCATTTCATTGACTGATTCCGCCCTCAAAAAAAATCATTCATATATAGGCGCTTTACATTTTTTAATCTATGACATGAAATCAAAGAAACCTGGAAAAAATTGTCAGATCAGATAGCACATGCTTGTGTGTTAATTTATATCAGTTTGAATGACCACTAGCAGTTTTTAGAAGTAATAACACCACAAGGCAGTAGCAAGCGAAATAAATCAGTGAAACATAAGTTTGTGGTCTGTTTGAATAATATCTTAACACACAGATAAAACTTATGTATGAAACATAATCACAAACTTTAACAATTGCTGATGTGACAATCATCATGCTGAAATTTATGTATTCAATGACTATTGTCTGTTAAGACATATCCTCCAAAAAAGATTGAGTGTCTATATTATTCAATATAAAAATAAGTAGATGTGGTATGATTACCAATGAAGCAACTCTCAACAAGAGACCAAATGACATAGAAATTGACTAAACTATAGGTCACTGTACGGATTTCAACAATGATCAAAACCCATACCGCATAGTCAGTTTGTTTTCTGTGTAGTGTTTGTCTGTTTTTTTAAACTCCTGATTTTGATTGCCCCTATGTTATCTTATCCTCTGTTTTTTTTAACCTCCTGATTTTGATTGCCCCTATGTTATCTTATCCTCTGGTTTTTTTAACCTCCTGATTTTGATTGCCCTTTGATTGCCCCTATGTTATCTTATCCTCTGGTTTTTTCAACCTCCTGATTTTGATTGCCCCTATGTTATCATATCCTCTGGTTTTTTTTAACCTCAAGATTTTGATTGCCCCTATGTTATCTTATCCTCTGTTTTTTTTAACCTCCTGATTTTGATTGCCCCTATGTTATCCTATCCTCTGTTTTTTTCAACCTCCTGATTTTGATTGCCCCCATGTTATCATATCCTCTGTTTTTTTTAACCTCCTGATTTTGATTGCCCCTATGTTATCCTATCCTCTGTTTTTTTAACCTCCTGATTTTGATTGCCCCTATGTTATCCTATCCTATGTTTTTTTAACCTCCTGATTTTGATTGCCCCTATGTTATCATATCCTCTGTTTTTTTAACCTCATGATTTTGATTGCCCCTATGTTATCTTATCCTCTGGTTTTTTAACCTCCTGATTTTGATTGCCCCTATGTTATCTTAGCCTCTGGTTTTTTTAACCTCCCGATTTTGATTGCCCCTATGTTATCTTATCCTCTGGTTTTTTTAACCTCCTGATTTTGATTGCCCCTATGTTATCTTAGCCTCTGGTTTTTTTAACCTCCCGATTTTGATTGCCCCTATGTTATTATATCCTCTGTTTTTTTTAACCTCCTGATTTTGATTGCCCCTATGTTATCCTATCCTCTGTTTTTTTAACCTCCTGATTTTGATTGCCCCTATGTTATCATATCCTGTTTTTTTAACCTCATGATTTTGATTGCCCCTATGTTATCTTATCCTCTGGTTTTTTAACCTCATGATTTTGATTGCCCCTATGTTATCTTAGCCTCTGGTTTTTTTAACCTCCCGATTTTGATTGCCCCTATGTTATTATATCCTCTGTTTTTTTTAACCTCCTGATTTTGATTGCCCCTATGTTATCCTATCCTCTGTTTTTTTAACCTCCTGATTTTGATTGCCCCTATGTTATCTTAGCCTCTGATTTTTTCAACCTCCTGATTTTGATTGCCCCTATGTTATCATATCCTCTGTTTTTTTAACCTCCTGATTTTGATTGCCCCTATGTTATCCTATCCTCTGTTTTTTTAACCTCCTGATTTTGATTGCCCCTATGTTATCCTATCCTCTGTTTTTTTAACCTCCTGATTTTGATTGCCCCAATGGTATTTTCTGTTTTTTTAACCTCCTGATTTTGATTGTCCCTATATTATCTTATCCTCTGATTTTGATTGCCCCTATGGTATCCTATCCTCTGTTTTTTTAACCTCCTGATTTTGAGTGCCCTATGTTATCCTATCCTCTGTTGTTTTTTTAACCTCCTGATTCTGATTGCCCGCCCCTATGTCATCTTATCCTCTGGTTTTAAACATACAAATTAATTTTTATTGTCAAAAACCTTCCACATAAAAATCTGAGGCAGCAACTGCCTTTTCTGACTCATGGCTAGTTACAGTAGTGAGCTCTCATAAAATTAATACAAAAAATGGTGATTATAACATGAAAACAAACTATCTGTAACTGCTGCTCAAAGCCTATCTCCAAGTAAAACTTCCTTGTAAAAGGGCTCAATGAATAGCCACATATTTATAATTTAATAAACTGTTGACACAGAGATATGTCTTGCCAGTTTATCATTTTGATAATAAAATGTGAATGTTGAAATTAAAATTCAATTGTTTAACATGTAAATTATGGAAAATATTCAGTCAATTGACCATGACTGAGGAGGAAAAGGGGAAGGCAGGTCCAAATAATGTCCATGGAAATGAGATGTGTCAAGGCTTATACAACTTCATACCAAATATCATTGACTTATCATAAGTGGTTCTCCTTAAACTGACCTAATCACAGAACTAACAAATTGTTAATGCTGCACCAATTGCGACTAGAAACAGTATACTGTAAATTCAGAAATTATTACGAGGTTTTTATTAATGCGAATAATGTGATTACTTGAGTATCGAAATAATAAAAACTTGCATTCTGATATCAAATACATATATCTGTATGTAGCTTTTCCTAAAATCGCAATAATCAAACTCGCATTTTTGTTAATTCTTCAAAAATCGCAATTATAAATGCACACAATAATTTCTGAATTTACAGTACCTAAGTGTTGCCTTTTGACTCAGTCAAGGGGATACGAAATGAATTCAACCCATCTCAAACTTGGTTATTTACATTTTTTTTATATATATTTAATAACAACAAACATTTTTGCTCTGTTACAAGTCTAAGAAGTTCCTGCTCAATTAATTCAACCCATCTCAAACTTACTGCCAAGAATAGATATCTTATGAAAGGAAAGGTATTAAAGTAAACACCCAATCATTAATACAAACATAAGAAATAAATTTAATAATTTTAATCGTCCATTTTGTTTTCAGATGGTGGCATTGTCTCATGAAAGAATCTGGAATAAATGTGTCCCATTCTGTGGATATCTTTATGTAGTATGGATCTTACAGTGACTGTATGGCGTGGTTCACAAACTGGAAAATACAAAAACATTATTGTAATACACGATATACAAAGAATATGTATTTATGAATTCAAGATATGCTGGATGGTATTGTTTGAAAAGGTAAAAAATTTCAGTGGAAATTTAACTTTGTCAATCAGGATAGTCAACAAAATAGTAAACCATATCACATTTGTTATAAAATTGGTCTTACGTTGAAGAAGGCAGGCACCGTAATCTTGAAAGTTCCTTTATGTTTTTTTTAGTTTGGTTGCTGGCTGATTGTAATATACTCAACATGTCCTGTTATTCATAAAAGAAAGGTCGAAACAACATCTCACAGAAAGCGTGAACAACATTGAAAATATACAATGAACATTTTTGCTGTGTTACAAGTCTTAAGAAGTTCCTGCTCAAAAATTGGCACTCATAGTGTATCAATCTAAAAATCAATGAGATTTATTTAGTATTTTGTTCATAAAAATATAGTTTCGGCTTTTAACAATGTTGTGATGGTAGAGTGAACGAGAAGTTGGATGCAATGTCATTTATGTCTAGAAAATCTGAAACAACTCAACATCATAAAGTTACTGACCATATAAAACAGGAGCTGAGAGGAATGTGTTGAAAAATACATTAACATTGGATTAAACAACATTTCTTTTTTTCAAATGACAGTGTCTGCCTGGCAAATCTGAAACTCCCTTACACAGTGCAACTCAATATAATAAAGTAGCATACCAAATTCCAAATCATTCCTTATTACAAAAGCTGGAAAAATGTGACAAAAGTTACATGCTCAGTTGGTTTAAAAAAATTCATCCAATTGAGAAAAAAAACTCATCAAGATACCAGACTTATAACTTTGTACTGCAGACACACTTTTCCTCCACAAAAGACTAACAGTGATGATTGAATCAAAAAAGTTAAAAGGCCAAATCAAGTATGAAGTTGTAGAGAATTGGGGACCCAAAAATTCTGTGAAAAAGAGGTGAGGAAGATACCAAAGGAATAGCCAAACTCATAAATCTAAAACGAAAAATGACCAAAAGAAAGTGACTGCAAGAAAAGGGTAGACTATTTTACATTGGCACACAAGAATATCACAATTAAATAACTGACCTCTTTTGTTGACTTCTTCTGGATCTTCAGTGGGAGGATTCTCCTGCAACAAAAATCATTATTTTACAATTGAACAAAATCCTATAAGATTTTATATCAGTCTTCCTTAGATCATTATCTTTTTGTTGCTTGTGGGGATGATATGAGCATTAATTAAAACTCTGTAAGTTGTAATCAATTTTTTACATTCAGGTAATAGACTGCATAATGAAGTTAAGAGTTGAGACATATATACTAACACCAATATAAGATTACAAACGAGTGTTCCACATACACATAGTGTTGGATTCTCCAAACAGTCATCAGATTCATATCTATTAAATGTCGGAACAGAACTAATCAATATAACAGCATCAGTCTTCTGACTGCTGATAGAGGAAAATTAGACAAACATTGGACAAACAATCCTTACATCTGATAAACAAATATTCAACATTTTCCTGCAACTTACATTTACAAACATAGATCTGCATATAAACTTATGCATGTTAGAATATTTCTGCCTCCTACTTGTCAGATAACTTGTCCATATAAGGTCTCAATGCTTATAAGTAATTATTACCTTTATGTATTTCCACATTTCCACCAAAAGTAAATATGCTTCATAAGAAGTCACCAAGGGAAATAACTCTGATATAAACTTGAGTGGTGTTGGTAGGAGTCGACTCTATAAAAGAAACAAATTTAAATAATATGCCATGAAATGATATAAAAGTAACATATTATTTATCACTCAAAGATAATTTGATTAAGAAAAAAAAATATAATTTTTTACTAGGATTTCCAATTAAATACTGTGCAAATGAACTTAAATTGTGCAAAAATTTGTGGATGATTTGTGTGCATCAGTTAAGGCACAACAGGATATCATGTGACTTAATAACAACAATTGTGGAAGCTATCAATGCAAGAAATAGCATGTCCAAGTCTCACTCCAACAACTTTCATGGAGGGTGAGACAATATTTGATTTACCAATTTACAGATTGCCACTATCTTGCCTATTAATTTCTAATCACACTAAAATGAAATGCACCAAATTGTACACATTTCCAACTACCTGTTATTTGATAAAACAAGAACTGGGAGCTATTGCTCACTAATGATACCCCACTTTAAGTTTTCAGTTATCAGGAGGTTGAGGGGAAAAGAATATGAAAACTCATTACACAATAAAGCATGTTTAAATGAAGTCTTATAACAAATTTCAGGGAGCTCTTATACATGGTTTCCATAAACAGGAAGTTGATGAGCAATGAATTTGAAACCATCTCACAGTATAGCATGCTGACATGAAGCCATATAACAAATTGCAGGAATGTCTGAATTGAAGTTCCTGAGAAAAATGCAACAGTAATTTTATGGGACGGACAGGCAGATCGACAGACAGACATACAAACTGACAGGGGTAAAACCTTCGGAGTGAGGGTTTAAAAAAGCATAGCAAACATTAAACAATGATTCATTCCTGTTATTTTTAAAGTTTCTTTTACCTTTGACAAACATCTAACAAGTTTACAACATGCCTCCATCTGCCTTGGTGAATGACTGGCCTGTTTCTGTCTGCAACTTTCAAAATAGTTCATTAAAGAAGCTGTGATGGATTTCAACACAGGAGAACATCTACACATTGCTAGTGGACCTGAAAAATACAAAGATTTTTATCTAGAGAAAATTGTGAAACAGAGAATGATAATCTCAATAACTCTATATTTCTAAAGCACAATATACTAATTATCTTGATATTTTCTGTTAGATTTTACACCAGAAACCTTTAATGTGTTCAGCAATTCTATGGTAAGTGGTCATTTTGATTCTATTTTATCAAATCTTTTAGTTGTTAATCATGTTGATAGCAACATTGCTCAGGCATAACTAAGTAAATCAAAGAAGTTGTCTGAATAAAGGAAAAAATATTTCAACTTTTAAATGGTTTTAGTTGTCACCTTGAGAAACAAATCCACTATGGTTTTTAAATCAATACATCTTATGTATAGTTCGTCACATAGTGCTATATATTTTGTGGGGATTCAAGCAATTTACAGAAAGCATGCTACTGATGATTCATTTCTAAAGCTAAATTTCTTTAGTTTTCTATTTCATTTATAAAATAAAGAGCTGCGTCATGAGCACATGATACACCCGTCACTTTTTAAAACGTCATATCAGAAATTTATAAAAAACTACAGGGAGGTTAATTTAATAGATATAAAGCAGTCAACAAAGTTTCATGAAAACTGCTCAAAGCACTTTTGAGTTATTGTCCGAAAACTGGAAAATTCCCCCTTTTTTTATAAATCAAATCCAATAACTAGGAAACGTTAAATCTAAAATTTATAAATATCGAAAGGGAGCTTATGTCAATAGATATTAACAATTCACCAAAGTTTCATGCAAATTGGTTAAAGAGTTATTGTCTGACAAATTGACGACGGACGACGGTATACCATAATACGTCCCATAAACGGGCCTATAATAATAAACAGGCGTGTAATAAAAATAAGGAGATGTGGAATGATTGTCAATGAGAAAACTATCCAACAGAGACCGAAGGACAAGGATGCAAACAACTATAGGGCACTGTAGGGCCTTCAACAATGAGCAAAATATATACACTACAGAAAGCAATACAAGGCTTCAATCTGACAAAAAGCAAAAAATTACAAAAAGAAAACTAACAGCCTGATCTTTGGTAAAAACAACAAACTGAAAACAAATATGGCAGACAGTAACCAACAACTCATGAATTGCTACAGGCACATTAAGAATGTGGCAGTGTTATTCATTTTTGTGAGTGCTCAACCCTCCCCCTACTCTGGCAATACTTTTTAATTTCTAGATTTCATATTCACAACAACTTTAAAATTAAACAATTTTTTTAATACAGTTAATATTGATATAAGGGGCAAGGTGCTAAAAATTGAAAATGAACTGCGAAGTGCTGACGATTCTTTCTTCAACTTATGATTTATGCTTTAAAACTTTTTTTTATCTTACATAAGGAGTTTGCACTGCAGTTAACTGCTGAAAACTTTTCAGCAATTGTTCAGACAAGGACAAGCAATAAAAGCATATTATTTGATACACCATTCAGTGGCACTCCCCAGTAATGCCTTCTAGAGGTTTATGATATACATATGAAGCATTATTGAAATCTAGAAAAAGTGTTTGCTCATACTGGTCCTAAAAGGTCATTTTGAACTTGTTGTGAGCTCTCACAGTTACTTAAGTTGAAGAAAAGCAATTAAAGCCCTGTTTCTTTTCTTTTGGTTTTGTCAAGAGCATGTAGGATTTTTTCCTTTTAAGAACTAATACACCATATCTTTTCTTTTCAATTGCATCTGCTTTATAATTTTAAACATGGCAACGACAACAAATCTTGATTGTGATAACAGGACTACCCCACATTACACACTCTTTTCCAATTCTCAATCTATTGATACTGTTTTAAAGTTGTTTTCTTTTCTTTTCTTTTTTTTAATACAATAAACACACTTTAATAACACCTGGTATATAATAACCCTAATTAACCTAGGAACCCTTGATAAGGGACCCCTGTTAAAACACTAATTCTCATTTCCCATGGACAAAACAAATGTTTGTTTCTTCACCTCTTAAATGAGACAACAATTTTGATCTGTATCTACTTACTTGATGAATATAAATCAAATACATCCCATAATACTTGGTTATCTTCAAATATCTTCCATACAAACAAATCTCTGAAAAATAATTATGGTTTACTGTGAAAATGAAATGGCCTTTGACCTTTCAGAACAGCAATGGGACAATCACTTTTTTCCACTGCAGAATTTCATTCATTCATTCATACTCAGCAACTAGAAAAAAGAATTCAACCAATTGCAAAATAAAGATTGTGGTAAGTTTAAAACAGGTACAGTGCCCTGAGTACAGTGTAATAAATACATGTTGATCATGTTTATTCATGAGTTGATCACAAACTCTCAAATTTGAAATCACAATATTAATATATACCTATAGTAATTTATAAATTAGAATCCAACTTATTTAAATGATAGATTAACAATCATAGTATTATGAAACTATAAGCCATACTGTGGATTCATTATCATTCTTGGGGTACACATTTTGGTTAGTATCTTGAGTACATGTATAACATGTATATTTAAATGTTCAACGAAGTATAAATTTTCTATAGGATTGTTTAAAGCCTTTGGCAAAACCACAAAATCAAATATCCACGAAAATACAATTTTTCTCAATCCATGAAAACTTGTACCCACGAAAATAAATGATCTCACAGTACTTCTTTAATGGGAAAAAATCATGAAAATCAAAGAAAAGATGACTTCCAAGAAAACAGTGAAAATAAAAATATTTCACATGAAACCTTTAAAAATATTTTTGCTGTGACAATTCACATATGACCCAGGACTGTAAGTTCAAAGAAATACCTTTCAACAGTTATTCTAATAGAGTCTTCCTCAGGCCAGAATCTATTATTATACAACACATCTGGTGTAGCTAATTCTGTGATCAGACTGCCAACCATTCTACATAACTCTGCTGATAATGTGGTCCTTCTTTTTCTAACAGGGAACATGTTATCTGTTTCCATTGGTGTATGAACTTCCTCTGTGCCCTGGGCTGTCACTGAACATGCTGCCAAAAGCTCCACTAAGCACTGTTTATTTCTTATAACTTGAGGCTGAAATAAAGGGGAAGGTTTAAACTCTTGACTTTCAAGTAGTAGTAGCAGAACTTTGTATCTGTGATTGATTTTTTTAAGAGTTTTTGAAGCTAAAAAAAAACTTGAATTTTGCAATACTTAAAATGTGCTTCTATTGTCTGTCCCTATATCAACTTCCTAGAACAAAATAATGGCAGTTTGATCTGATGGTACCTATTAAACCTTAGTGTTAATTCTTACAAATCATATTTCATTTTTAAGAAGTACTTTTACGACATTGGCTTTCAAAAATTTTGGCTAAGCACTCTCCTGATGAAGTTTATTTTTTACCTGCTTTAAAACCTGCACATGTGTTCTTGGTTTCAGACCTTTTCCTATAACACCAGCATGGAATACACTAGAGTGTGACCTTGGCAAGGTCAAAGTTAAACCATGTTTCATGTTTTCTTCCTTCAGCTGAGTATATGTATCTTTCTCTGAGGTCAGAGACGATGGATCTATTTTACCACCAAATAAAATGGAAATTTCCTGAAATTAAATTTAATAGAAAAATATTGTTAATTCAGGTAATTTTTTTAAATATAATTTTGCTCTGAAATATCTTTGAAGTCTGTTTTTGTTGTAAATAACTTTACATGATTAATCATCTATAATTTATAGAGGAAAGTCCCAGTCTGATATCAATAGGCCTTTGCTTATGTTTTCTTTCAAATAATTTCAATTTCACATTTTTAAAACATCTCGATAATAGTCAACAATCTTTTTTACAAGGTCGTCAGGTTGTGCCATGAGTGCATGATACACCTGTCGCATTTTTTATCAATAATATTCAATAACTTCTCAATGTCATATCAGAAATTTGTGAAAAACTAAAGGAAGGTTATCTCAATTGATACAAACCCGTCATAGCACTTTAAAGGTATTGTCCGAAAACTAGAAAATCACCCCTTTTTTATGAATAAAATCCCATAACTCAGAAGTGTAAAATCTAAAATTTATAAAAATTGAAAAGGAGATAACATCGATAGATATAAACAATTCTCCAAAGTTTCATGAGAACTGCTGAAAGCATTTTTGAGGTATTGTCCGAAAACTGCAAAATCCGACTTTTTTAAATGAATAAAACTCCATAACTCGGAAACATAAAATCTAAAATTTATAAAAATCAAAAGGGAGCTCATGTCAATAGATATAAACAATTGACCAAAGTTTCTTGCAAACTGGTGAAAGCATTTTTGAGTTATTGTCCGGAAACTGGAAAATCTGCCTTTTTTAATGAAAAAAACCCCATAACTCAGAAACGTAAAATCTAAATTTTATAATAAACGACATGTTGACAACGGACTGACAGACGGACGGACAGAGGTATACCATAATATGTCCCGTAAAGAGGCGTATAAAAAGAAAAAAGTAAATCAATACAAAATATTAATAAATAAATATTTTGGATAACAGAAATCCTTCATCAGTATACATACAAACTTTGTCAAAAATGAATCAATACTACTATTATTGATTATGGTTCATAGTCATATATCATATCAAGTCATATGTACAGTAAATATAATTATTGCTATTTTCTCAAATTTTCCCTTAATCTTTTATCAATGGTCTTTCAAACTCAAGGATGTATCTTGTCTGTCACACATCTATGAGATTGTAGCCGAGAAGCTTCCTCTCGTTTGAAGAACTATCCATTATCTACATATATTTGTTGCAGGTTGTGTGCAAAAGTAATATATAAGCAAATGTCTCATCACAGTTTACTATTTTAGACTATGCATCCTATCAGATACTGTACAAAGGTTAGGTAATCCTTGAAATATTGAATAATTATCTCCCTTTACACATTTTTTTTCTCATTTGCATGCACTGACTGTTTCTTATTCGAAATGCTGTATTTTATTTAGTATTTTATTGTCTTAAAAAAAATCATTGTAACCATTTCTATCCACAAGGATCAATGATTGGTGAATAAAGAATTTCTACTTCTATTGCATACTACTGAAAAAAATCTGCATTCAAATCTCAATTACCTTTGTGAACAAAGCTTCAATAAAAAATCTTAATATGACCGTCTGCACATAGGAACTATTGATTAATTGTTTCATACACTGTTTACACACTGTTACCATTTCAAATGCAGTCTTTGAATCTAGAAAAAATACAAATCTAGTAAAAGAACACAATGATAAGCTTTGAAAATGTGAACAAAGATATATCTAAATATAAATTAAAAAATCAATTTGATTTCAAAAGCTAACATATTTTTAAATAACTATTGTTATATATGTATAGTAGCTAATTAAACAGGGCTGACCATTTGACAGATAATTTTTGTTCTGTTATAACATTTGAAAAATAAATTGATTTTCCTTGTATTTTCTGATTTAAGTGTACAATTGTTGGCAAAAATCTTAATCAAGAGTTTCCTTAAAGTGTACAATTGTTAGCAAAAATCTTAAATGAAGAGTTTCCTTGTATTTTCTGTAATAAAGTGTACAATTGTTGGCAAAAATCTTAATGAAAAGTTTATCAAGCAGACTCTTTATTTTTAGATTATTTTTTTCTGATTCCATTTTTGCCACTACTGAGTAAAACAAATACACGTTGTGGGTTGATTTGACATACATAAATAAAATACCAAAATAAGTAAGCAATGAACGAGGTTGTTAAATGTAATATATGCTTTTTTGTGCTTCTTTGTTAAATATTTGTTCTTTTTGTTTTGATTAAGATTGTGACACGGTGTTGACTGCTGTACCCCTATTTTACATTTTTACCTATTATATCTGTTTATTTTATACGCGCATCATTATCAATATTATACGTGCATCATTATCAATATAATGGAATTTGATGCGACTGTCTACAAGTGAGAGGTTTAGCGCTATAAAACAAGGTTCAATCCACCATTTTCTACATAGGAAAATGACTGTACCAAGTCAGGAATATGACAGTTGTTGTCCTTTCGTTTGGTGTGTTTGTGCTTTTGATTTTGCCATTTGATTAGGGACTTTCCGTTTTGGATTTTCCTCGGAGTTCAGTATTTTTGTGATTTAACTTTTTACACTAAAAATTGGCGGTATCTCTTCACTATATGTAATTAAAATGATTGAAAATTTATTATGAAGCCCAAATTAGAATTATATTTGTTTGACATATTATAAGATAGGTGCCACATGTGCAACAGGATCTGCTTACCCTTCAGATCTGAGATTACCATCTGTTTTTGGTGGGGTTCTTGTTGCTCAGTCTTTAGTTTTTTATGTAGTGATTTGTAGACTGTTGTTTATCTTTTGTCTCTCATGGACTAATGAGGTTTGATTCTCCCTTTGCTTTCTTCTGCTACTTTTTCAAACTGACCTAAGAAACTTCCTATTGTTACATGGTCTTACATAAATTACCTTCTATTTCTAATATTCTGAAGAACAATTCTGACAAGGATGAACACAATGTAAGAGTTATGGGACTTGACAGGACCTTTGGGAGTGTGACAATATTGATGATTTTGAGCATGGTAATAGCAATCTTTGTATCACTGTTTGTTAGTAAAGGCAGGAACGATTCCCACTGCTGATGGATACAATACTGGTATAACGATCTGGAAAAAAATTTATACAGATTTATATAAAGCATTTGATATATATACAATTTTTACAATTCTGATTTACATCTTTGTAATTGTTTTTTTTAGGAAAAAAAGTATGCATTAGTTGAACTACAAAAATAATTTGCGGTTTTAAGGGGATGGCATTGTAATGGCATCATAAAGGCTGTGTTACACAGAATTACACATTTTTTTAAAAAAGACATCCAAAGAAAAACATTCATGCTTTCCTAAAATTCATAAGACAAAGAGATTATGCTAAAAGAAAATAAGATGTATTTTCTTTTTCTTTTAAAGGTTTTCTGTGTTTATCATTTAAATCTAACATTAAACAAAATGCTTTCCAGTTACTTGAAAACAGACCTATATTCTTTGGCTACATGTGATGTACTCTCCCATTGGACAAGAGACAACAAGTTGCCAAGCAACTGCTTAACATTATCCATTTGTTGTGTGTTTAACATATCAACAAGTCTGTGTATTGTACAGGGTAAAACATCTCCAAGTTTGACTTCCACTGTGCTCTGTAAGTCCAGGCATCTAGATAGCTACAAAAAAATATACAAAGGATAATTAAAACAAACTCACAAAGAGCTCAAACCCACTAGTCCCATCTGATTCAACCTGGGCTTCTTGTTGTTCAATCTTTTAGTTTTCTGTGTAGTGTAATGTGGATTGTCTATTTGTCACAGTGTTGTTGATACCACTGCCAGTCCGAGGGTTTCACCAGCCCAGTAGTCAGGGTTTCTGGTTGACAAGAATTATCATTGATATGGTCATAATTATAAATTAACTGTTTACGAAACTTTGAATTTTTCGAAATATTAAGGATTTTCTACCTCAGGAATAGATTACTATAGCAGAATTTTCTACCTCAGGAATAGATAACCTTTTTCGAAATTTTGAGTCCTCAATGCTCTTCAACTTCTTTTTTTGTTTGTCCTCTTTAACTTTTTAGATTCGAACGTCACTGATTAGTCTTTTGTAGACAAAACCCACATAAAATTTAAATCCTGGTATCTTTTTGATGAGTTTATTTGTCTTTTTATGACTAATGGTTTAAGATTGCTTCATTGATATCTTCTAATACTTTTCTCTCCTAAATTGTGCAGTTCAGTGTATAGATTGATTGATTGATTGGTGTTTAATGCCACTTTCAACACTTTTGTGCTATGTCCTGGCAGTCAGTTTTTATTGGTGGAGGAAGCTGGAGTGCCCAGAGAAAACCACCAACCTTCTGTAGGAAAACCAGTGTGTAGACAATGAAGTGCCAAATAATAGCATTAATTCTTTTTATCCTGATTAAAATAATACAATTATTAAAAGTACTTCAGGGACATAGAGAAATAAGAAAATATATATACATTTGTGTAACTGCCTATGTGTGACAGGGACAGATGTTGGAAAAAACAAACTAAAAAAAACCCTAATGAAAAGGAGAATTTTGTGTGCATGTCTTATACTAATTACCTGTCTGTAGTTAGTGGCTTCAGATATAATACAGACAAGTATTTCTGATGTGCATTCCTCTCCACTGTATAATGCTACATAAGACAACAACTTCATCAGCCACAGTGATCTGAAAAATAATATAATCATAAAACATAAATAATGACAAGATAATTCAGGACATGACCACAAGGGTGTCTTCCCGATTGTCCCACTTTTTGAAATTACAGGTAAAAAAGTAATGAAATTTTGTGGGACAATCGGGAATATGTTTGTTGGACAATTGGGAAGTTTAAATGTGGGACAATTGGGAATTGTTTTGATAGTGATTAATTTGTTTTTATAGTGTGTTGCAGTTAATTAAAGGTCACTAAACAATGTAACTTATAAAATATGAAAAAAACATGAACAAATAATAATATTTACATATTTCATTTTGCACATAGTAGGTACAATTATAATATCATCAAACACGGAATATAATATGAAGTCATAAAATTTTAGTCTTAGATGCATATTTTTTTTAATTAGTTTTTATTGGCTTTGAACTAGCTGTCAGTAACTGCGAATACTCTCAGACCTGTTACAGTACTCAGTGTCTTTGTTGTGGTGATGCATAAGTAGCCGTCCACGTCCACTCTGTGTTTTTGTTAGATGTATTTCTGTTTGTACCCATCTGATGAGAAAAGCCTTTTTCAACTGATTTTTATAGTTTATTCTTATGTTGTACTGTTTCAACACTGTTCCAGGTTATTGGGAGGGTTGGCGCCTTCAAATAAGTTTAACCCCGCAAAATTCTGTATGTGCCTGTCCCAAGGCAGGAGCCTGGTATTCAGTGGTTGCCGTTTGTTGCTGTGTAACATATTTATTTTTTGTTCATTATTTTGTACATAAATTATGCCATTAGTTTTCTCGTTTGAATTGTTTTACATTTGCCATTTTGGGGTCTTTTATAGCTATGCGGTATGAGCTTTGCTAATTGTTGAAGGCCGTATGGTGACCTATAGTTGTTAATTTCTGTGTCATTTGGTCTCTTTGGGAGAGTTGTCTCATTGGCAATCATACCACATCTTCTCATTTTTGATGGAAGTCTGTTTCTACTTTATAGTTGGTGAAGAGTCCTGTTGACTGCAAAAGCAATGGGAATATTGGAAAAACAACCTTTAATAGTGATTCTTGGAAAGGCTGATCTGGCAAAATTATAGACATCAGCTTCGTAACAATAAAGACAGTTGTTGGGTTCAGGTGAATCTGACGTTGGGTGTAAGCAGTCTTCAATAGTGCAGAGAATGATGTATTAATGTCCTCCGACTTCCCTAGTAAACAAGTTCATGTAGAGTGTAGAATGTAAATGAGTTTATACCTTTTTTTTGAAATTGCATGCATTATTTCTAAATTTATTTAAAAACTTTACAGAGAAAAAGGAATTAAAATTACGGTATTGACATTTGTTTTATGAATAACGTTACATTGTAGATATATTTCATAAATCAGAAATATTATATTTTTTTAATCAAAAGTGCATTAATCTAATAATTTAAAAAACATTTTTTTTAATACTTTTATAAAATTAATATTAAATGTGCAATAATTATTTCTTGTTTTTTTAGCAAAACAAACAACAGTTACCTTGTTTATCTAAGAACATTTTATTCATAAAATAATGTGGGACAATCAGAACTTTTCATGTGGGACAATCAGAACTCTAAAATTTTAAAAAGTGGGACAATCGGGAATAAACCACCACAAGCACTTGAGGAATGAATTCCTCTTTCATTCTAATATCATATGGAAAAGAGTAAGAACACATTTAATAAGTGAAAATAAGTAAAATGATTACAGAATATTTACTAAAAAAGATTAAAACACCCCCAAAAAATTAGTAAAATAAAAAGTTGTCCATTACCTAAGTGCCTTTGGACATGACCCAAACATGTCAAAAAAATTATTAATTTTTACTCTTTTAAGTATCATTATCATTACTCTAATAGCTAAGCAAACCAACAAAGCCATTTATGAATAATTTCAAAACTATTAACATACTGTACGTTGTCACAAATTTTAATTTATTTTCACCAATTTTCTTCCTTCCTTCAAAATAAGGAGTAGCAAGAGGAAACCTAATACTTGCATGAAATCATCAGGTTTCTCCAATTAGATTTCTTTTATTCTTAATTATTATTTAAAAAATAAAAACAGAAGTGACTCGTTTTAGCATTTAATTTCTCTTTAAAATAATAAATTTTCAAGAAGCTTGAGCAGAATTTAGATTTTTCAAATACCTGTTATAAGGCCTATTTTGGTGTTGATCATTCCTTATCTTTCATTTATCTTAACAAGCAAGTATCTGTTAATTTTTACTCAATTCAGTGAAAAAAAATATTTTTCCAATTCAAATAATAATTACACCTGTAATATTATTTAAATAAATAGGGAATGTGTCCATGGCACACAGATGATGCCCCCACTTGCATATAATAAAAAGTTATAAAGGGACATAACTAACGAACGGTAAAAGTGAGGCTACCCAAATTTGTACTTGATCTGAGTTTTGTAGTGATAAGTATTGTGCATACCACATCTTCTTATATCTATTGTGTATAAGTCTCATAACATTTGGTTGAGGCAAACTTACGATAGAGAAAGGAAACAAAAAATTCAGCAATTTTTCCATTTGTAAAGGGGCATAACTCTAGAACAGTACAAGTGACACCACCAAAATTCAAACTTGATCTGTATTTTGTGGTAATAAGCATTGTGTGTAAGTTTCATATCATTTGGTTGAGGCTAACTTAAATTAGAGAACAGAAACGAAAAATTCAGCAATGTTTTCAATTGTAAAGGGGCATAACTCTATAACGGTTAAAGTGACACCACCAAAATTCAAACTTGATCTGTATTTTGTGGTAATAAGCATTGTGTGTAAGTTTCATATCATTTGGTTGAGGCAAACTAAAGTTAGAGAACGGAAAACCAACTTTGGGACGTACGTACGGACGGACAAGGGTAAAACTTAATGCCCCTTCCGCTACGGCGGGGGCATAAAAACATTTAGGTCCCCATAATCAGTAATTTCACAGATATATCAAGGTGTAAATGACATATGGCAGCAAACCTATGAATTAAGAACAGTTTGTTAAATGCACAATCCAATACTTACACCATGCCATCACTTTGTAAAAGCATCCGGGTCAACTCTTTGACCTTTGGTGTGAGTGAGGCCAGAAAGGGGACTTCCACCATTCCATTATTCTGTCTGTGGTATACTGCACTTTGTACTTCTCTTAACAACTGATCCTACGATTACAACATACCGTAATGAAATTTATGAATTATGCTAAGAGGCCTGAGCCCATTTTCTGTATTACGGGTCCTTAAATCATCATCATTCATGAAATTACACTCCACTGACTTTTACAAACCCTATACATCAATATTAAATCTTGTAAATACAATGTTTAAAGGTATGGTCTGCATTTGTCACTTGAGTTTAGCACTATCAAAATTGAATATCGAGAGTTGATATCAAGCAATTTTATATTCTCATAAGTAGTAGAACCTACCGGTATATCTCTTACAGTAAAAAATATTATCTATGTCCAGTTAAAATATTTTCTATTTCGCAAGCTTCACTTTAAATCAAAGTCCACTTATAGTATTGAGAATATTGTGTCAGGAACATAGACAACTGCTAAAACTTTTCCAGCTTTCTGTACGCTTCAAAATAGAATCACATTTGACAAAAAGAATATTTTCAGATGAAACAAGTGAGTGTTTTGAATAATTTTGAAGATATCACCATTTCCAATGTGGAAATGTGACCTTTGAAAGTCATCATTGACCTAACAAATAGACAATGGAATTATTGCAATTTAGTAACACATTGCAGGATAGACCAACCAAATTAACATATTTTTCCTATCACTTTAATATTCATATCACACTCAGTTCAATGTGATATAAAAAATATCTCTTCATGCAGGAAGTAGATAACAGGCCACAACCATACAAGAATATACCACTTCTCTTACCTTGTATTTTTGACAGAATGTATAATAATCAAACTTACAATAAGAAAGGAACATGTATCTTGTATATCTTCATGGATAACTTTGGCCTCTGTACCTACAATAAAACATATATAAATACATGTCAAAGGAGATGACTTGTACAGTCAATGAGACAGCTACCCGACAACACAAATAATCCAAAGTCAGTGTTGTTATTATACTGTTAATTTGGTTTTTTTTCCGTGGGTAACAAATTTCATGATTGAGGATAAAATGTATTTTCATGGATATTTGATTTCATGGTTTTTCCCAAGTTGGCATACAAGCCTAATAGAAAATTTGTTCTTCAACATTTACATTTCATGGTTCACTAACCAGGAAGTCCATGAAAATGGGTATCCACCGAATAATAATGAATTCATAGTAATTTTCATCTTGATTAAGAAAATTTACTGTATCTTGATCTATCTACAAAGACTTTTATATTTTTTCAGCAGCTTTAACAAATCAATTAACATAATTAGTGATTCTTATTTCTTGGAGCATTCATGAACATCTGATATTGCAAGTTGAATATACTTTTAAACCAATATTGTTTCATAGATCAATAGGGAAAATAATTTGACAGAAGAGATAATTTTAATAGTTAAAGCATTTTACATTATTTACTATTATTCTAGAAAATATGAAAAAAAATAATCTTACAGAAAATTGGCTGCAGATCTGATTCAAAATAATCTCTAGCAAAAGTCAGTTGGTTTCCTTAAATTACCTCAATATGCTTTATGGATTAGGTTCATGAACTAAAGTTTAGTCAGAAAACTTTCGACTACAATTATCATACTCAGACTCACAATCAAAATACTGGATTTGGTGTTTCAAGCAAAAATTTTGTTCTTCGAGTACTGAGGTAAGTTATATGACCAAAAGGCCTGGTAAATAAAAAGTGTCAGCACATACATTCCTTTTTCAATATGTCAGAAAATTATAGAATAACATCCTGTAAATGTTTTTCATACCTGTTGGAATGGCAGCTTGGAGAAAGAACTGTAAGACTTGATAAGCTCCAATATCACTCTGTATCACAAGATGCACCACCAACAGGAGGAAACTGTAATAAAAAAGAAATATGATTTACAGATATTCCTTTAGGGCTATTACATTAAAACAAATGTGGGTGGGTAGGAAGGGCAAATTCTTTTTTGACATTGTTTGTGGGTCATTTTTAATTATGCATTTTTGCTCCTATGATGTATAAAAATTACTTGAAGAATATAAGTTGGTTGTACAGGGATTTTGGAAGTCCCTTTCTTCCCTCTCATATCTATTTTAATGGAAAATAAGGAAAATCACTATTGAATGACAAATGTTAAACTGCAATTGTATTCCTAGATGATAACTTATTTTAAAAGTGCCTTCCGTCAGTACCATATGCAGAGAAAACTGTCTAACCAGAACTCCTTCTATACTGAGGACTTTGTTTAGATTAGATAGGTGTTTACATAGGTTAAATTATTTAAGGATGTTCGCTACTCTGTTTCAAAATAATAAGCTTTTTAAAAAACTGATATAAATTGAAAGTATATAAATAATGGAACTAAACTAGAGGCTCTCAAGAGCCTGTGTCGCTCACCTGACTCTACTTTGGTTTTAGAAATCATGTAAAGATAGATAAAAATCATAACAGATACCCAAATAATGATTGAGGCCAAATTTTGATTAATATTGGTCCCGTTATTTAATAAAATATCCTGGTGGCCATCTTGAACAGTAAATCGGCAACAAAGTAGCAACACTTGGTCAGCACTTCAAAAGGAACATTCATGCCATGTTTGGTTTCATTCCATTCAGTGGTACTCTAAAAGAAGACATTTGTATGTATTTCCTATAGGGTCCTATGTTAAACTAAGCCCCTCCCCCTAGCGGCCATCTTGGATGGTGGATCGACTGCAAAGTAACAATACTTGGTCAGCAACTCATAAGGAACATTCATGCCATGTTTGGTTCAATTCCATTCAGTGGTTCTCTAAAAGAAGACAATTGTATGTATTTCCCATAGGGTCCTATGTTAAACTAAGTCCCCTGCTGTCGGCCATCTTGGATGATGGATCGGCTGCAAAGTAATAACACTTGGTCAACATCTCATAAGGAACATTCATGCCATGTTTGGTTCCATTCCGTTTATTGGTTCTCCAAACGAAGACATTTTCATGTATTTCCCAAAGGGTCCTATGTAAAACTAAGTCCCCCGCTGGCGGCCATCTTGGATGATGGATCAGCTACAAAGTAACAACACTTGGTCAGCATCTCATAAGAAAGATTCATGCCATGTTTGGTTTCATTCCATTCTGTGGTTCTCTAAAAGAAGACATTTGTATGTATTTCCCATAGGTCCTTTGTTAAACTAAGTCCCCTGCTGTCGGCCATCTTGGATGATGGACAGACTGCAAAGTAACAACACTTGGTCAGCACCTCATAAGGAACATTCATGCCATGTTTGGTTTCATTCCATTCAGTGGTTCTCTAAAAGAAGACATTTGTATGTATTTCCCATAGGGTCCTATGTTAAACTAAGTCCCCCGCTGGCGGCCATCTTGGATGATGGATCGGCTACAAAGTAACAACACTTGGTCAGAACCTCATAAGGAACATTCATGCCATGTTTGGTTTCATTCCATTCAGTGGTTCTCTAAAAGAAGACATTTGTATGTATTTCCCATAGGGTCCTATGTTAAACTAAGTCCCCCGCTGGCGGCCATCTTGGATGATGGACCGACTGCAAAGTAACAACACTTGGTCAGCATCTCATAAGGAACAATCATGCCATGTTTGGTTCCATTCCATTCAGTGGTTCTCTAAAAGAAGACATTTTTATGTATTTCCCATAGGGTCCTATGTTAAACTAAGTCCCCTGCTGGCGGCCATCTTGGATAATGGATCGGCTACAAAGTAACAACACTTGGTCAGCACCTCATAAGGAACATTCATGCCATGTTTGGTTTCATTCCATTCAGTGGTTCTCTAAAAGAAGACATTTGTATGTATTTCCCATAGGGTCCTATGTTAAACTAAGTTCCCCGATGGCGGCCATCTTGGATGATGGATCGGCTACAAAGTAACAACACATGGTCAGCACCTCATAAGGAACATTCATGCCATGTTTGGTTTTATTCCATTCAGTGGTTCTCTAAAAGAAGTCATTTGTATGCATTTCCCATAGGGTCCTATGTTAAACTAAGTCCCCCGCTGGCGGCCATCTTGGATGATGGATCGGCTACAAAGTAACAACACTTGGTGAGCACCTAATAAGGAACATTCATGCCATGTTTGGTTTCATTCCATTCAGTGGTTCTCTAAAAGAAGTCATTTGTATGCATTTCCCATAGGGTCCTATGTTAAACTAAGACCCCCGCTGGCGGCCGTCTTGGATGATGGATCGGCTACAAAGTAACAACACTTGGTCAGCACCTCATAAGGAACATTCATGCCATGTTTGGTTTCATTCCATTCAGTGGTTCTCTAGAAGAAGTTCAAAATGTAAAAAGTTAACGCCGACGACGGACGACGCCGGACGACGGACGACGGACGCCAAGTGATGAGAAAAGCTCACTTGGCCCTTCGGGCCAGGTGAGCTAAAAAGCAGAAAAAAATGAAGGGTCCCCAACCTTGTTTTCGAGATATAAGCCTTTGAAAAATTGGCGGGAAATGATTCTCTCTATATTTTTTATACATTTAACATTTTTCTTTCAAAATCTATTATAAAATAACAAGGGTTTTATAAGATTTTCAAATATGGCTTTTTAAACTATATGAGATAAAACTATGAAAAGAAAAGTAAGGGTTAGCGGTCAAAATATTTATTGGCACTACATGGATAAAACCAGAGGATTCTGACAAAAATTCAAAAGCAAGAGGAGCGAACATCCTTAAGAATAATCACTGATACAAGAATTCAGATTAGACAGGTGTCCTGCTTATACATGTTATACAGGGTTCAGTTTAGACAGATTTGACTGTATATTTCCTGTTTTATGTTATTTCTTTGTGAAAGAAATAACATCTAATAATATAGAAAATGAGAAGAACAAACTTTCACAAGAAACATGACTAGTTTCAAACTTAAACTCAGTTGAATAATGTTCATTACCAACACCAAAGAAGTCGTTTTCATATTTACTATGATCTGTTGTTTTTAAGTTGAGAGTTAGCAGTCGAGAAATCAATGACAATGATTATTTTATTGTGGTGAACTGTAAAATGAATAGAAAAGTGAATGTCTTTTTTTTCCCATTCACCTTTTATTCGGTTTTATCATTTGTTAAAAAACCCATAATTAAGGAATTAAAAATCATGTGAGATTACATCAACAAAATTTAACAGACATGGGGTTAAATCAACAAAATTATCAGATTTGAGGTTACATCAACAACTTATCAACAAGATTAAACAAATGTGGAGCAACATCTGATAACCCCAAAAAATAAAATAAATAAAAATAACATCTAAAAATTACATCACTTCAACAAGAACAAAATTTGGCTTTCTCTTGTTGCTGGTTTACTTAACTATTGAAGTGTACCTATTATCTATTTTTTTATACCTAAACCATACTTTTCTTCTTTTTTTAATCTAGGTTTTTTATACAAATTTAGAAATTTCACAATTTTCTACTGTTGTCCTATGATCACATGACATACCTTTCATATTCCTGATGACTTGTATTTTTCCACTGCGATAAAATAGTATTTAACTGATTCAGTACTTCTGGGGTCACTGCAAACAAAAATTAAATCTTATACATCATAGACTTGGTAAATTCGATACGAAGCCAAAACAGAGAACACAGCAGTTCAAACATCAGTCCCATTTAGTAATCTCTTATGATAGAACCATCCTATCATGTAGATTAGGGGATTCGTCTGATATTTTTATTGAAATTTCTATTACATTTTTTACTTTAACTGAGAACTGTTCAATGAATTATTATTTTTTATTGTTATTTTTTTTAGGGGGAGGGGGGTTGCCACCACTGCAAATAGAGCAACAATAAAACTTTAACAAACATTTCCAAGTTTATATTATATATTATACAGATAACTTATATAATGTATACTTTTAAACATGTATTCATAAAAAGAAAAACTAGAGGCTCTAAAGAGCATGTGTCGCTCACCTTGGTCTATGTGCATATTAAACAAAGGACACAGATGGATTCATGACAAAATTGTGTTTTGGTGATGGTGATGTGTTTGTAGATCTTACTTTACTGAACATTCTTGCTGCTTACAATTATCTCTATCTATTATGAACTTGGCCCAGTAGTTACAGTGGAAAATATTTTGTAAAATTTACAAAAATTTACAAAATTTATGAAAATTGTAAAAAATTGACTATAAAGGGCAATAACTCCTTAGGGGGTCAATTGACAATTTTGGTCATGTTGACTTATTTGTAGATCTTACTTTGCTGTACATTATTGCTGTTTACTGTTTATCTCTATCTATAATAATATTAAAGATAATAACCAAAAGCTGCAAAATTTTCTTAAAATTACCAATTCAGGGGCAGCAACCTTACAAAGTGTTGCCTGATTGGTCTGAAAATTTCAGGGCAGATAGATCTTGACCTAATGAACAATTTTATCCTCATCAGATTTGCTCTAAATGATTTGGTTTCAGGGATATGAGCCAAAAACTGCATTTTACCCTATGTACTATTTTTTAGCCATGGCGGCCATCTTGCTTCGCTGGCGGGGTCATCAGACATATTTTTTAAACTAGATACCCCAATGATGATTGTGGCCAAGTTTGGTTAAATTTGGCCAAGTAGTTTTAGAGGAGAAGATTTTTGTAAAAGATTACAAAAATTTACGAAAAATGGTTAAAAATTGACTATAAAGGGCAATAACTCCTCAAGGGGTCAACTGACCATTTTGGTCAAGTTGACTTATTTGTAGATCTTACATTGCTGAACATTATTGCTGTTTACAGTTTATCTCTATCTATAATAATATTCAAGATAATAACCAAAAACTGCAAAATTTCCTTAAAATTACCAATTCAGGGGCAGCAACCCAACAACGGGTTGTCCGATTTATCTGAAAATTTCAGGGCAGATAGATCTTGACCTGATAAACAATTTTATCCCATGCCAGATTTGCTCTAAATGTTTTGGTTTCAGAGATATAAGCCAAAAACTACATTTTACCCCTATGTTCTATTTTTAGCCATGGCGGCCATCTTGGTTGGTTGGCCAGCTCACCGGTCCCATTTTCTAAACTAGATACCCCAATGATGATTGTGGCCAAGTTTGGTTAAATTTGGCCAAGTAGTTTCAGAGGAGAAGATTTTTGTAAAAGTTTACGGACGACGGACGCCAAGTGATGAGAAAAGCTCACTTGGCCCTTTGGGCCAGGTGAGCTAAAAATCCAAAAAAACACTAATTTCAACATGTTTACAAAAAAATTTGTGTCATGACAAGATTTCTTAAACTCACATTATTTCGTTTTTAATATGATAGAATCTTGCAGTTTATGTATATAAAATTTGGAAGTGTCTAGAAATACAATAAAAAATTCAAATTAATAAAATTTCCAATACATACATGCATTAATAAGATCTGTGGTTAGAATATTAAGTAACATTGGAGACAAAGATGCCAGCTTCAGTAGGAAAGGAATGGTTGTCTTCCTAATCATCTCACTCTCAGCTGTTAAACTGGCCTGAAAATGAGAAACTAAATACAATATCAACTACAAAAGTCTCTTTCCCATCTGAAACTGAAGATCTCATTCAAGTGAAGATTGAAAAGACATCACAATATTATTGCCATAGAAATGTCTTGTATTTAAGAAATAGCGCTGTATGCTGTAGTATGATATAATAAATTAATTGATTTAGAGCATAAATTCATATAGACATGAAGACATGATGAATTAAAAAGATTTCATATCATTTGGTACAATGGTAAAAAAATCCAGTTTTCAAAGGAGTAGGGGCAATAAGGCCCTTATTTGGCCCAAATATTACTGCAAATTTAAAAGTTATCATACATATTCTTAAATTTGCCCTAACTAGACTAAGGTACCAGGTTTTCAGAAAATAAAAACAAATTTCACATTAAACAAGCTACCATGGCAACAAACCATGACGAAATTTGTATATTTTGTAAAATTTCTTAAATTTCCTTGCTTTTTATCAAATTCTAAGTATATTTTAGATTGGCAAAGTATGTGCGCACCCAGGAAACAACTTTATATTTGGTGAGATTATGTTACTAGTTATAATAAAGCTTCTCTTAAATTATTTTGTTGTTTCTTGGCTGCGCACGATGTTTCCGTAATGGAAATAACAATGGAAAATTGCACACATTCTGTATTTTTCATCTTTTTCATGAAAACGGTACATATTATGACGTAATTGTGACGTCATCAGATTAACAATCTTATGCTTTTCATTTATATTTCTTCACTCTATGCGTTTCGAAACATTATGTGCCGATTTGAAATAGTTGTAAAACGTTTTATTTTCTTGGGCCAAAACCGGGCCTTAATGCCCCTACTCCTTTCTATTTCATCATCGGTAAAGCCCTCCTTTGACTTTAATTCTTATCTGTGGTACACTATTCTCTAGATATTAACAAAAAGTATACATATTTTCTGAAAGCCCAGAATGGTAGATCCTGTGAAATATAACTTGAAAATTTCGTAAATGGCTGTTGTGTGTAAGAACATATACGCATTTGGTAAAAAAAGGAAGTTGTTAGGGATGACTATAATATTCATCACACGGTTAAGCATGCTCACATGTGTTTGGTAATAATTTCCAGGAATCTCTTATTTGAAGTTCCTAACAGAAGGCCTTCCAAAATGTTTAAGATATCTATGCATCAAACTGTGTGCAATGATTTTTTGTATTGTTTTGTCATTTTCATTCAGATGACCAAACTGTCAAGAGATGGTATGACATATGCCTACTAGATTGATTTCTTTTCTCTCAGCTTAAATATCATGTATGGGCTATCCATGGTTTTTCTTCTGCTCCCTGCAAGGTAGAATGTTTGTTCAAAATTAATTTTCAACACTTAAGGCACCAGAAAAGTTTGTCCTAATAACTTACCTCAAATAATTTCATCAAGGCGTTTCTAATGTCTTGCCCATGCTTAGATGCCAGATGTCCTAGAATTCCCACTGCAGATGCCATCTTTGGCATTTTATCATCAGATGACATGTGCCCTTCTCCAGGTTTTCCACCATGTTGATAGTAATCTTTTAAACCACTCATTAAAACCCTTGTTATAATGGTGGTCGGAAAACATGATCTGAAAAAAGTCATATTTATCACACCACTAAATACTGTAAATTCAGAAATTGTATGCAACATTTGCTGAAATGCAATAATTAACCTTACATTTGTGTCCTCATGAATATTTTCTTTTCTAGTGTGTAAACCTTTACACTGTTATGTCATAAGAACTAGAAACAACCTATGCAATTCATTTATAAATTATTTTCTTTTCACACATGTGATAATACAAAATTTACTTATATTCATTCTTGTTTCAATGTTAATTCAGCCTAATGTCAAAATAACAAACAAATAAAATTTACCAACATGTTATCTTAACATTCAGTGAATAAAACTTCATTTATTTTTTTATACTGAACCTTTATTTAAACCAATACTCACCCAATATGAGCTACAACCCAGTCAAAATGTGGACTGTACTTAACTGAAGCTTCCAGTAATGAATCTACACAAACTTCTGGTGCACCTTTCACCCTGAAAATAAATTGAACGATTAAGAGTCCAGCCTATTAAGCAACCAAAATATTTTCATAAACAATAAAACTTGTCATGAAACTCTGACAAAGTTTCATTTACTGTATAATTTGTCCTGTTATATCACCAATCACTTTTGGCTAACCAAACATGGTATAAATGAATTCCTTATTAGGAATACTCTGTTAAGCAAATATAAGCAAAAACAATGGAATTTTTATGAACATGATCTAGCATCTATTTTTTGAGGCATGATATAAAGAAATACTTATCAGTTTATTACTTTCAAATTAATTATAGATAATGAATAGCCTCCCCTTACCTGTATCAAGTCAGGAATATGGCAGTTGTTTTTCACTTAAGCTTGGTTCTTTGATTGATAGCATTTGATTTTGTCAGTTTTTATGGACTTCTCCTTTTTGAATTTGCCTTGGAGTTCATATTTTTGTTATACTTTTTTAGCCCTGTGGAAAACAAGGCCTTGAATTTGTTCGAGTCCTCTAGCAAAAGTATGTCTAGACAACTTAGTTGAAGGTTGGCGCCAGATAAAACATTCAAACCCGCTGCATTTGTTTGAACCTGTCCTAAGTCAGGAACCTGATGTTCAGTGGTTGTCGTTTGTTGATGTGGTTCATAAGTGTTTCTCATTTTTTTCTATAGATTAGACTGTTGGTATTCCTGTTTGAATGGTTTTACGCTAGTCATTTTTGGGGCCCTTTGTAGCTTGTTGTCAGGTGTATGCCAAGGTTCCGTATTGAAGGCCATACATTGATCTATAATGGTTTACTTTTAAAAATTGTTACTTGGATGGATAGTTGTCTCATTGGCACTCATACCACATCTTCTTATATCTATTATATTTCTACTTACATAGCTGCAAAGCATTCAGTGGCGACCTCTATCAAAGATTTGGTTGGTTTGCATGTCATCCATAGCTGCAAAAGCTCATTCAATGATCCTGAATGTGGAACTCCTCTGTGTGTTGAGTATTTACCACTGAGATGACCAAGGAGTTCCAAAGACCACTGAAATATAAGATTTCTATGTGAGTTAATATGATTTAATGATTGGTCTTTATAAATAAAAGTTACCATTAATATTACAGGCATATACTGTGAAATATATACTATAAACCAACTAATTTTTGACAGTTACTTATTTTCATGACTTTCGTGAGTAGAAAATAATGTGAATATAAATCGTCTCAAATATGTAAAACTGGGATCTTTCCCTATTAAATTACATCAAATAAATTTTAAAATCATGAAATTAAATCACCAAAAAATAGGCTAATAAAATGCTCCGCTTGGCACAGCTTGATACGACCGCAGAGGTCAAACCCTGAACAGTTTGGGCAAGTATGGTCACAACATTCAAGCGTAATACAGCACTGAATTTGGATTGTGATTAAATATTTGACACAGCATTGGTTTCTGACACAGAATGAATGTGGTCTAAGAACTTAAAAAATTTTAATTTACCTATTCAAACCATATCATTATTATTTGCTTTTATATATAAATCAGAAATAACCAATTTAAAATGGAAACTTTTAAAGAAAAAAAGGGAAAAAAAATTCCCTCCCCCCAAATTTTTTGAACCCCCTTATGATTCATCATCCCCAAACTCAATCCAAGCCTTCCCTTTGTGGTATGGTACCTTGCAGTACAATTTCAGAGAGATCCATACACTTGAACACAAGTTATTGTCTGGAAACTAGAAAAATGCTTGTTTTTAGGCCCTTTTTTGGCCCCAAATTTCTAAATGTTTAAGGCAATTACCCCCAAACTCAAACCCAGCTTTTCCTTTGTGATATGGAACCTTGTAGTACAATTTCATAAAGATCCATACACTTACACACAAGTTATTGTCCTGAAACTAGAAAAATGCTTGTTTTTTGCCCCTTTTTGGCCCCTATTTCCTAAAATTTTGAGGCAATTACCCCCAAAATAAATCCCAGCCTTCCCTTTGTGGTATGGTACCTTGCAGTACAATGTCAGAGAGATCTATACACTAACACACAAGTTATGTCTGGAAATTACAAAAATGCTTATTTTTGGCCCCTAATTCCTTAACTGTTGGTACCATAACCCCCAAAATCAATCCCAACCTTCCTTTTGTGGTATTGAACCTTAAGGTAAAATTTCATAGAGATCCATTCACTTAAACTAAAGTTAGAGTGCGAAAACCAATGTGTCTTCCGACGACGACGACGCCGACGACGACAACATCATACCAATATACATAAAAAGGGCTAAAGACAAAATTAAAGTATGCACATAAATAACTTGATTCCAGTTTACTGTAGATTCAGTAAAATTAGTTAGATATTCAGTGTTCTAGAATTCCCATTTCCCGTCACCCGTGGCAAGTTGATTTAGGTCACGGGAAAGTGGAAATTCAAACCTTTGTTGTCCGTGGGCAAGTAAAATTAAATTACAGAAACTTCCAATTCATGCAGATCAGACAGTCGATGAAACAGTTGTATTCTTTAAATCTTTTATTTCAATCAAAGTCTCAAGGCAAGATCGTTTTTGTTGGTGTAGGTTATATATATAATTACAATACACCATTAGATTTTATGGGCGCAGCCATTTTATGAGCATAACATGGTATTCAGAATTAAGAGTATAGCTAATCCTGATTGGTTGATATGTGCGCCCGTTATTTTTTGTTATTAGAGACTTCTTGCATTCTGCATTATACCAAAGGCCAAATAAATTATTTTCATTAGCCCTAACGGAACTGAGATGTCTTTTAAACGCTAAGATGAGACACGTATTTTTAAGTGCAAAATTAATAGGCATGGGAGATAAGTACAAATTACGCTAAGAAAAGCAACGCGAACCTATATTTTTTGGACCAAAAAATACTGTCCTAATAACTTTTCTTTAATTCTAGCAAGGTTTCGTTAAAAAAATCAACTTTCTGAAGTCTGTATCTCGAAAAAGGCTATCATTGTCGCCTATGGGGAAATTAATTGTTTATTTCAATCTATACAGCGTCGACATTTCTTTATCATAGTGCTCAAAAAGTGTCAAAAACAGTAATTTTACTTGATATTTGATGTGAAACCGTATTTTTTGGTGACAAATGAATTATTGATTAACTAGTTTTTAAGCTATAGTCTGTTTCATTTTTGTATTGCGTTTTACCTTAGAAACAAGGGTGGGTTCGACTTTTGACTTACTGTGGAGAGAATATGTCATTTTCTGAACTTCTGCTGATTTGTTTGAAAAAAGCACGTACACGTCTAGAGTTTGGATATACAAATCGATTTTTAAACATGACAATCTCGATCCAAGTGCTGTTATCGAAATTACCAAATTCAGTGAAAATGTACAGAAATGATCCCCTTCGAACATTGAAATGTTCACTCGAATGACAGACTATAAAAAATAGAATAGTCATGACATTTTGTAGTTAACGAATAGTTTTCGATGTTTAAACACAAATATTTACACATTTTTCATATTTTGAAATGCTATAGTCTGTTTCAAAAATGTACTTTTATACGAAAATGGTTTCATTTAAAACTGTTGTTCAAAATTCACCGTAGTAGTTACATATTTGATCGGTTTTGGTATCAATATAATCAGTACTTGATGACATACAAAGAATCATTGGAGAAAGTGGACATTATCTTCAGGCCCTTTTTAGCAGTACCGCATTTACTCAAAAAATCAGAAATTTTTTTTCCCCATTTTTTGACTGGGGTCACCTCTGATAAAAAATTGTGAAAATTCAGAGAGTAATGCCAGAACGTTTTGAAGATGATTTTTGTGTGGCATATATATTTGTGCATCTAACGAACTATGAATTGCATGATTCTAGAAAGTATTAAATACCGTATAGGTTACAATACACCATTAGATTTTATGGGCGCAGCCATTTTATGAGCATAACATGGTATTCAGAATTAAGAGTATAGCTAATCCTGATTGGTTGATATGTGCGCCCGTTATTTTTTGTTATTAGAGACTTCTTGCATGCTGCATTATACCAAAGGCCAAATAAATTATTTTCATTAGCCCTAACGGAACTGAGATGTCTTTTAAACGCTAAGATGAGACCCGTATTTTTAAGTGCAAAATTGATAGGCATGGGAGATAAGTACAAATTACGCTAAGAAAAGCAACGCGAACCTATATTTTTTGGACCAAAAAATACTGTCCTAATAACTTTTCTTTAATTCTAGCAAGGTTTCGTTAAAAAAATCAACTTTCTGAAGTCTGTATCTCGAAAAAGGCTATCATTGTCGCCTATGGGGAAATTAATTGTTTATTTCAATCTGTAAATCATGCAGGGGTTTTAAAGTCTAGGGGAGAGAAACATGGGCACATGTTTCGCAATCACAGTCATAAAGACACTTGCTAGCTAAGCAAGAGAAATCCGTGATTTCAAGCATCCATCTGATCTAGACGCAAAAAACTAATAACCGGAATGCAAACGGTAAAAGATTTGATATCCGGATCTCAAATTGTTGATTTTCTGCTTGAAATGTTATCACTTTTTTGTGCCAATACATTTGAATTACTGAAGTTACATTGTTTATGTCACAAATAGACATGTGTCAAACTTAAATTAATATATTTCAAAACAAAATTAATATATTCCATCAAATTTTTTGTATATCTAGATGAACATGACATTGAATTATCAACACAATCACAAGCTAGTTTGACAAACTAATTAATTTCAAAGGAAATAACAGAGTTCATAATTTCAAATTGAACTACATGTATAAACATGCGATAAAAGGAATAAGAAAATTATGAAAACATTTTTCAAATAGTATAAAAATAAGGGAAAGTTCATTAAACTTGTAGGAAAGTGAATTTTTGATACTAACTTTCCCGTGGAAAGTTGCAAATGTATGAAAATCCTAGAACACTGGATATTACTTATGGTCTAGTTCACTGGTAAGGAGAAACCATAAATTTATATAAGCTGCTAAATAAATAAGTTACCTGTTTAATAGTAGCAAATAATAATGCTAAAATCTATGGTACCCTCAAAATAGTAGATTTTGCTCCAACCACAAAAAATGTACCAGCAAATAATAAATGAATCCACAATAGATTAACCCAAACAAAATCTTGAACTGAGACTTTATGATTTTTTCAACTACTGTGGATTCATTTATTTTCGTGGATTGAGGAAAACTTGCATTTTCATGGATATTTGATTTCGTGGTTTTGCCAATCTCTGCATACAAAGCCTATAGATAATTTGTAATTCGTTTAACATTTGAATTCGTGGTTCACCTGTACCCACGAAAACCACGAAAATTGGTATCCAACAAATAATAATGAATCCACAGTATTATAAAATGACTTACTGATGATATAATGGGTGCCCATGCTGCAGGATTGGTCTTTATAAAATTGAATAAAACTCCACAAGCATCCTGTATGACTGAGTCTAAAGTGTTACTTGATTCACCTTTAAAAGAAATAATTTCTGTAATTCATTTCTAATTCATATAATAAATATATGACATCTTAGCCTTTAAAAAGAGTTATTTGTATGTAAAGACTAGTTGTAATACAGTAAATTGGGATATTTGACTGTTGTCAGTTTGATTTGGTGATTAAGATGTAAGTACCAAATTAAAACACACACCAAAACAAATTTTACCAAAACAGATGAGCATATTATCATGATTGTGTTGGTCTTTGATATTTTTCATTTCGTCTCATTACCATGATTACAGCTTTCTAAACAATTACACGAATTCAACAATGAATTCCATTTAGAATCAGAAAAAAAAATTAAAACAGGTATCGGAAATAAACACAATGATTCTAAAACCAGTTGTTGGCATGATACGGGTTATGTTCTCCTCATATATTTTATGATGGTATGATACTAAACCCCTAACGGGAGGGATAGTGCTTGATTTTAATATGATGAAGACATAATCTTTCAATCAGTTTAATTGAGGTCTGGAGCTGGCATGTCAGTAACTGCTAGTAGTCCTTTGTTCATTTATGTATCATTGTCATTTTTTCTTAGTTTCTTTTGTTACCTATTCTGACATCGGACTTGGACTTCTTTTGAACTGAATTTTACTGTGCGTACTGCTGTGTGTTTGTTTATTCTACATTGGTTAGAGGTATAGGGGGAGGGTTGAGATCTCACAAAACATGTTTAACCCCACCGCATTTTTGCGCCTGTCCCAAGTCAGGAGCCTCTGGCCTTTGTTAGTCTTGTATGTTTTTTAATTTTAGTTCATTTATATGTTTTGGAGTTTAGTGTGACGTCCATTTTCACTGAACTAGTACACATTTTTGTTTAGGGGTCAGCTGAAGCCAGCCTCTGGGTGCGGGATTTTCTCGCAGGGTTGAAGACTCATTTGTGGCCTTCGGCTGTTTTCTGCTCTTTGGTCAGGTTGTTGTCTCTTTGACACATTCCCCATTTCCATTCTCAATTTTATCAATCATTTATATATACAAAATAAAAATTGTTGGCAGCTGTTATGTGACACAATGCAAAACATCAAGATACATATATTTTCACATTGAATTCTTGTTATTGTGAATCCAGGGGACTCACTCTTAAAAATATAGTTCTTAAAGTCATTTACATGTATAACAAATTGATAATTGGGAATGTTATCACCTCCATTCAACAGCAATCTCCATGTTTAAGTTTTACAGTGAATTCCTCAACACTGACAAGAGTGATTACCTTGAGTGAACTGTACTAATCATTACCTAAATCATCTTGATTGAACTCATGAAACTGTAGCTGTTTCATTTGAATTTGTACTGCCTCCTCAAAAACATTACAGAGGTATTCAAATACAGCATGTCTGGCTACTGGTAAAGTTTGTAACAGGTATAATGCTGACTTTGTCAATGACTGGCCACTGACTTGTTTCTCACGGTTTACTCCTTGCAAAAATAATCGTACTTCCGATAAAACATCCTAAAAAAAGTAATGGTTAAAATTTCATGTTATTAAATGTTTATCTACATGTATATCAATCATCATCATAGATTTTCATACATGTATACGTTTGCTTTCATTGTTTTTTTTTTCACCATAAATTCTTCGTTAAGGTTAGTAGCAGACAGAAATAAAATGCTCCGCTGGGGCGCAGCTTGATAAAACCGCAGAGGTCGAACCCTGAACAGTTGGGGAAAGTATGGACACAACATTCAAGCTTGATAAAGCACTGAATTTGGATTGTAATTAAATATTTGACACAGCATAGGTTTCTGACACATAAGCACTGAATTTGGATTGTAATTAAATATTTGACACAGCATAGGTTTCTGACACAGAATGAATGTGGTCTAAGAACTTAAAATTTTTTAATTTATCTATTCAAACCATATCATTATTATTTGCTTTTATATATAAATCAGAAATAATCAATTTAAAATGGAGAATTTTAAAGAAAAAAAATGAACCCCCCCCAAATTTTTTGAACCCCCTTATGATTCATCACCCCCAAACTCAATCCCAGCCTTCCCTTTGTGGTATGGTACCTTGCAGTACAATTTCAGAGAGATCCATACACTTGAACACAAGTTATTGTCTGGAAACTAGAAAAATGCTTGTTTTTTGGCCCCAAATTCCTAAACGTTTAGGGCAATTACCCCCAAACTCAAACCCAGCTTTCCCTTTCTGATATGGAACCTTGTAGTACAATTTCATAAAGATCCATACACTTACCAACAAGTTATTGTCCTGAAACTAGAAAAATGCTTGTTTTTTTGCCCCTTTATGGCCCCTAATTCCTGAACTTCGGAGGCAATTACCCCCAAAATCAATCCCAGCATTCCCTTTGTGATATGGAACCTTGTGGTACAATGTCAGAGAGATCCATACACTTACACACAAGTTATTGTCATGAAACTAGAAAAATGCTTGTTTTTTGCCCCTTTTTGGCCCCTAATTCCTAAAATTTGGAGGCAATTACCCCCAAAATCAATCCAAGCATTCCCTTTGTGATATGGAACCTTGTGGTACAATGTCAGAGAGATCCATACACTAACACACAAGTTATGTCTGGAAGTTACAAAAATGCTTATTTTTGGCCCCTTTTTGGCCCCTAATTCCTTAACTGTTGGTACCATAACCCCCAAAATCATTCCCCACCTTCCTTTTGTGGTATTGAACCTTATGATAAAATTTCATAGAGATCCATTAACTTAAACTAAAGTTAGAGTGCGAAAACCAATGTGTCTTCGGACGCCAACGTCATACCAATATACAACCGCAAATTTTTTTTGCGGTCGTATTAAAAACCTGAAAACATGAGTTCTTTAAAACAAATGCAACAAAAAGGGTTGACAGTTTTAAAAATAAAATGAAAGTAAAATTACAAAAAAACCTAGCCCCTCAACCACCTTGTACAAAAATATGGGTACAACCATTTCCCGAAAACTCCCTAAAACTCAATATGAACCTGAGAACCGATAGATAATAACTGAAAACGTGATTTTATTTGATGTACATTTAGTACTGCTTGTATTGATAATTATGACTATATGAATTTGAGATATTTGTCATTTTTACTTAATAGTACAATTTAACTCCAGGAATTTCGATTTGTGTGTCTTCTATGCAAGTTCCTTGTATAACAATATGGGGGACATAATTATTCAAAATGTAGATAACTATTATCTATACATGTTAAAAATTTTAAAATTTAACAATGGTTTACTTTTATAAATTGTTACTTGGATGGAGAGTTGTCTCATTGGCACTCATACCACATCTTCCTATATTTATATATGATAAAGTTATTTACTTTAATTAGGAATATTTACTAAAACTACAAAGGTACCCTGCACAAAGCACATGCATACCTTACGCAGTCTGCGATCAAGTTTGAATAATTACGCTTGCCCGAGTCCAGATGGGAACTTGCATAAAAGACACACAAATCAACACTTCAATCAAGTTAAATTGTTCTTTTTTTTTTAGTAAAATTTACATTTATCTCAAAATTATAGACTTTGTTCTCTATAACAGCAGTATTACTCTATATACAGTTAGGTTTTCGGTAATATCTATCGGTTCTCTGGTTCATATTGAGTTTTTGGGAGTTCTCTGGAAATTGTTGTACCGCAAAAACAGGCACTGGCTACGGTAACATTGAAATGTAACAATAACAAAAAAAGTTATTGTTACATTGGAGATTAATTGCCGAAATGCAGGGGTGGGTAAGCAACCAATTAATTACGAATGTAACAATAATACTTGTGTCTACAGTTACATGTACATTGTGTTATTGTTACGTTAATGCACTTCAATGTATGCTGGGACTAGTAATATGTATTAAAATAAAACTTGAAAACTTTTATTTGAATTTTACAATAGTGCATATAATTTTTTAAATTTTTATTTACAATGGCAGTTTCTACACATCCAGTATGTTGTTTTGGGAGCATGTTTTAGTCCGACGCATTTTTGGTGAAACTACGCTAGGCAGCCATCACAAACGAGTGATGCAGCAATGTGCACGTTGGATTTGCAGACTTTACAATTCCACTCTGCAGTATCCCTTTATGAAGTTATCATGGTTATAGAAACTTTCAATGTTTGCCATGCTTCAGGTGAAAAATTTTTTTTTACTCTTGCGATGTTTATATTTTTGTCCAATATTTAATTGGAAACATGTGAGGTTGTTTCATGTTGTCTTTTGATGTAATAGCATCTCAAGTTTAAATTTTTCAACCAAAATCAAATTTGGTAATAGGAATCACTTCATTCATTGTTCAAAGTATAATGACAGTAATAAGGGTAGGTGTGCAGTTGAATACATAGAAGTGAACACTTTACTTCTTAACATCGAACCATTGAACTATATTTTTCGCCTTTGGCACTACTAAACATGCTAAACTGTAGTATGTAGTATCTGTAAGAACATTAAAACAATTAATACTTAAAACTATTTGAAAACACTATTATCATTACTATTTTTATCAAGAACAGTAGTGTCCGGTAATTCCGCCTGTCCGGTAATTCCACCCGTCCGGTAAACCCGCCCATTCCCATTTACTTCCGTAATTGTCACTTCATTGAATATTTCGTCTGTTATTTTATTCATAGGAACTGTACTTATTATCACTGCATGTCAAATTTTAAAGAAAAATACTTTATTACGAAAATATCTAGTGATATATATCAGTCAGGGGTACTACTTGTACAAGTAATCTTTATTTACTTGAAGAAGTAAAAAAAATATACTTATATATAATGTTTGAATAATCTCCCCTTAATTTTCTCAAAAATTCACTTGAATAAGTAAATTTTTTTTACAACCCCATTAAAAAAAAGTTTTGAGATGTAAAACATGCCTTTAATGATTTTTCCCAGGTTAGCTCATAATTTTTGATTAGAGTTCAATGTTTCATCTCATTAATTCAACAAAGAAACTGATTGCACAATTTTTTTTTTACCTATACAAGTAAATAAAATACACTTGTATTAGTATCCTACAAGTTTACTTATATAAGTAATTGTATATTAATATTACTTCTTCAAGTAAATAAAAATTACTTGTACAAGTAGTATCCCTGACTGAATACAGTTCCTAAAGCTAACGAAATCATATTATTGCTTACAAAACTCATTTCTGACTTTAAATTTTTTGGATCATCTGGAATCCCTTTATAAGTGGTCTATTAATAAATAGATCACCTTTTTCCTTTCATAAAGGAGTAGGAGCATTAAGGCCCAGTTTTGGCCCAAGAAAATAAAGTTTTTAAGAACTATTCCAAATTTGCACATAATGTTTGGAAATGCATAAAAACAAAAAATATTATTGAATTATACAAAATTTTTGATGTTATGACGTCACAATTACGTTATAAAATGCACCAATTTAAATAAAACATAGAAAACTGCTAGGTTTATGCAGTTTTCTGTCATTATTTCCTTCGAGGAAACCTCGTGCGCAGACAAGAAACAACAAAATAATTTTAGAGAAGCTTTATCATAACTATTGAAATATTCTAACCAAATATAAAGTTGTTTCTAGGGTGTGCACATACTTTTCCAATCGTATATATACATAAGGGTTGACGTTAAACAAGGAAAATTAAGACATTTTACAAAATATACACATTTCGTCATAATTTGCTGCCATGGTAACTCAATAAATATAAAATTTGTTTTCATTTTCGTTACACCTTTTATTTTAGTGTAGTTTGAACAAAGTTAAGAAAATGTATGGTAACTTTTCAATTTGTCCTAATATTTGGGCCAAATTATGGCCTTATTGCCCCTACTCCTTTGTGATAAACTGCCCTCCATACATATTTACTGTGCATGGGCGGATTTACCGGACAAACACGTTTCCGATAAAAACACGGATGGCCTACTTGTTTTGTTGATTTTAAAAATTTATTTCAGATATTTTTTGGGAAATCAGATAAACTACTCAAAGTTGACTTGTCAGTGAATCGATTTATATTAAATTTGTTACATTTTATATATAATTAAGCAGAAATACATACAATCAAAGCCTTATGTGGGCAGATTTACCGGACTGCATCGTACATATCGAAGAATTAAGCAACAAAACTATAGAAGGATTAAGTCTTATAAATCTAACTAAAAATAACACAACGTAACCGTAGACACAAATATTATTGTTACATTCGTAATTAATCAGTTCCTTACCCAACCCTGCATTCTGGCAATTAGTCTCCAATGTAACAATAACTTTTTTATTATTGTTACATTTCAATGTAACCGTAGCCAGTGCCAAATATAAGCTTTTGGCTTGTATGTTTATGTTGTAGTTTTTTTAGTTCTACATGTAGTTTGGCAAGCATGTTTGTTATGCATCCATCTTCCCTTGTTTTGTAGTTGCCTGTTATGAACTTTGCTGCTTCTCATATTCATTCTAGCTTGTTGGTATCTGTTTCACTGTAGGGGTCCCATACTTACTAAAACGAGGAAGCATTCACCATTTGGTGGGTTTTCCCCAACAGGTTTAAGGCCTAAGTTTGCTAAGGCCGAGTTCATGGGATGGGGAATATACTCAGACTTTAAGAGTGTTTATCAAATGAAAAACACTGTTTTCCCAGTGTTTTCATAGGATATAACATATATCGAGCCATGTTGCTGATTGTTGGATCTGAATCTGAAGAAGTACATTGCAGGGCCAGGATATATGGCATCAATGGCAACGGAAGAGAGGCGCTGGAAAATTAGTCCAACGATGTGAGAGTAACCGAAGTTTTAAAGCTCTCAATTGTCTTGGCACACACGAGATTTCGGGGTTCGTATGGATAGTAAACCCGGCAGATTGTAACAAACCTCTGTGATTTATCTACAATGTTTGGACGAGTTGAGCTGTTGAGTTCTTAAAAAAAATGCCAGTGATTTGATCTCTATACAATGGTTTCTGTAAATAAAAGTGTAGTGTTATTAAAAGATGAAAATATTACTGAAATCATAGGACAGATTAATAAAGAAAAACCTTTGAGGATGTTAAGTTTTCAGTGGCAGTTGCCATTTTTCAGTACTGGAAATTCTAACCATCAGATCCAATTTGGAAGTGGACATGTCGCGATTCCGGTAGGTTGCGAAAATTGCAATTAGACGGGATTAAGATGAACCGACCGTTTAAGTTAAAAGCTAATTTAAGCTACCAAATCGAAAAGATTATCTCGTGATTTAATACGAGGATACATGAATATTGATAAAAGCAAGGAAAATCAGTAAGGGATATAACCGTATGATTTTCTGGCTGGGGACCTGAGTGACTATATATATTTTCAACTTGTCACAACTGGTTAAAGGTCCAACATGTTTTAAAAAGGGTTTAACCCATCCCTTGTGGATGTTATTATTACAAGTAAAAAGAATATGTGTTTTAAAACAACAAATAGTCCAAATGGTGTTAGTGACTGTCACAATATTATTTCTACAGTTGTGAAAGGGAATTTACCTGCACAAAAACACAGGGACGTAACATATAGAAGTTAAAAAACTTTTGCAGAAAAATAAAGATTCAGTCAGAAAATTGTACTGAGAAAGATCTAAATAGTATATAAGATGATTATGAAAAAGATTTCAAAAATATATTTAAATAACCATGCACCTGTAAAATCTAGGTGTCACTGAAAGAAGAAAACCACTTCCATGTATGAATAAAGAACTGAGAGGGCCATATATCGAAAACAAATGCTTTATTCACAATATACTAAAAACTGAAGTGACAAAATTGGGAGAAATTTAGAAAACAAAGAAATTTGGTAACTACTAGTAATATAAAGAGAAAATAAATAAAAGTATACTTTTTAGAACGTTGCTCTGGTGGGTGAAAATCATGCGAGTTTTGGAAAACAGTCAAACCATTTTTCTAAAAAAAAAGGGGGGAACTGTGGAGAACAAAAAATCTTATTGTGTGAAAATGACAAAATTGTATATAGTCTAAATGAAGTTTCTAACGTTTTTAACATTTTTTTCTCCACAGTAGCAGCCAAAATTGGAGCAGATGTGGTATATGACCCCCTCAAATCACCCAGGTATAAAAGAAATTTTGAGTAACAGAAAGCATGTTTCTGATTTTGAATTTAAGAAAGTATCTAACGAAAATGTCGATAGAATCTTGAATAAAATAAACACCAAGAAGGCTACAGGAGCTGATGGTATTCCAGCAAAAATAGTAAAAAATTGTAAATCTTATATTGCACCACAGCTGACAACTCTTGTAAATTTGTCAATTGAAAATAACTGTTTCCTTGATAAACTTAAAGAAGCCCAAGTGACCCCCGTTCGTAAAAAGAGTGACCCATTATTAAAAACAAACTATAGACCAGTTAGTGTCGTAACCATATTTTCTAAAATCTTTGGAAAAATATATGAATTTCAACTAACTGAACTTGATACTTTGATAAAATATTTAATCCTTTTTTGTGTGCATTTAGACGTGGACATGGATGTCAGACCACACTTCTCAGAGTGTTAGAAGATTGGCATGAAGCTCTTGATAAAAACCAGTACATTGCAGCGGTATTAATGGATCTTTCTAAGGCTTTTGACTGCCTGCCTCACAATATCTTGCTAGATAAATTATCAGCATATGGCGTATTCCCCCATTCAGTTGCTTTTTTAAAGTCATATTTATCTAATCGTAAACAACAAATAAAAGTCAACAATGTTCTGAGTGGTTGGGCTATCATCCATAAAGGCGTACCAAAGGGTTCTATACTAGGGCCATTGATGTTTAACGTATTTATAAATGATATTTTTCTTTTTGTTAAAAATTAATGGTAGTTTATATAACTATGCAGATGACAATACTTTGTCTTTCTGTACTCCAGATTTTGATTTATTAATTTCAACTTTGGAATCTGAGTCAAAAATACTTATTGAGTGGTTCCAGGTGAATAAAATGCAAGCAAATCCCGACAAGTTTCAAGTTTTGGCTGTAGGCAAAAAGACCTTTGAAAAAAACCCATCTATACATATTCAAAATTCGAACCTTACATGTGAAAAAACAGTAAAATTATTAGGCATTGAAATTGACTATCAGTTAAATTTTGATGTTCATATCAGCTCAATCTGTAGGAGGGCCTCACAGCAACTAAATGTTTTAAAACGTTTGGGTTCAGTTTTGAATAGACTTAGTAAACTTACTATTTTTCATACTTTTATTCTTAGTAATTTTAATGTTTGCCCTTTGGCATGGCAATTTTGCACTGAGAAAAATTCCAAAAAAATTAGAAAAGGTGCAGGAAAGAGCACCCCGTTTTGTATACGAGGATTTTAGCAGCTCCTACGAGGACCTCTTACTAAAAGCTAATGTGCCCTCCTTGCAGATCAGACGGATAAGAACAATGGCTCTAGAAACTTTCAAGATTATGAACAATATATCTCCTGTGTGCTTACAAAATTTGGTGAGTGTAAAAAAATCTAAGTATTCTTTCAGGTATGTAAATATTCTGGATGTTCCACAGGTAAAGTCAATCCGTTACGGTAAAAAAAATCTTTCAAATTTGCTGCCCCAACTTTATGGAACAGCCTTCCAAACCATTTCAGACTGAATATAGTTTTTCACATTTTAAAAGTCTTGTTCAGTCCTGGAACGGTTTGGAATGTCGCTGTTCTGCTTGCAGATAACTCTTGAGCTGTTTATTATTTATGTTGCTTTTTGTTGTTTTGGACTAGTATTGATGTATTTCTTCACGAACTTTTATATATTTAAATTTTAATTTCTGACACATATTTCCAGAAATTGGATAATCAATTCATGTTGAAAATATTCTGTTCTTTGAAATTTCTAGATCTCAAAGCAATGGCATGTACTTAGTTCTAAACTTTTTATTTGATTTTTAAAATTAATCGTTTTATTTAAATAGTTATCATATTTTTAATCTAAATTTTAAACTTTAATGTAGGTAAACAATGTTTTACTTCATTCTAAATTTGTTGCTTAATTTTTATTGCATGCTATGTATGTGAGATTCAACTTTGTAGTACAGGTTGTTTTATATGTTTAATTAGACTGTTTTTATATTATGTATATGTTTTTATATTCGGTCAAAAGCTCCTTAGAGCTTGTGTTGTATATTTAACTTATGCCGAATCAAAATAAATTTTTCTTATTCTTATTCTTATATATATATATATATATATATAAACAAATCTAAATTGAAAACAACGTTCAAACCTATGATTGCGTTGGATAAAAACCGCAATTTTTATACGTGTGCATGCAAAACAAATTTCTTGGTAGAGGGGTCTAAATACAGCACAAACAACATTTTCCAAAAGACCAAAAAAGTGAAAAAGTATATATATATATAGGACTGCCGAGTATTTTTTTCGGCAAACAGGGCCAGTCATTTTCTCCCGTTGCTAGACCAGCTTTTTTATTTCGTGAGAAGCCGCAAAAAAATTATTTTTAAATTTGGAACATAACTATTTCGACATTTTGCTGGACATCTGTATCTGTAATTAATATTCGCCTCCAATATAGGAGATCGAGGAAATCCTCATTTAAACCATAACCCAAATATGTCTTGATTTAAAAATAAGAAGATGTGGAATGATTGCCAATGAGACAACTCTCCACAAAAGACCAAATGACACAGAAATTAACAACTATAGGTCACCGTACGGCCTTCAACAATGAGCAAAACCCATCCGCATAGTCAGCTATAAACGACCCCGAAATGGCAAATGTAAAACAATTTAAACGAGAAAACTAACGGCCTGATTTATTTACAAAATAATGAACGAAAAACAAATATGATACACAGCAACAAACGACAACCACTCAATAACAGGCTCCTGACTTGGGACAGGCACATATAGAATGTGGCGGGGTTAAACTAGTTTGAAGGCGACAACCCTCCCCCTAACCTGGGACAATGGTGTAACAGTACAACATAAGAACAAACTATAAAAATAAGTTGAAAAAGGCTAAACTCATCAGATGGATACAAATAGAAATACATTTAACAAAAACACCGAGTGGACGTGGCAAGTTATACATCCCCACAACAACAAAATTTATCGGAAAGGAATAGGTACAACAGGTTGAACTATAGCGACGAACCAAGATATAAGATTACATGGACAACATTTATTGCATTTGCGCCAATATCTGAAAAATGCAGTATTTTATAGCTATAAATACGTTACCATCATAAATTCTGAGTGTAACCCCAATTGCGTCATAGGTCAGATGGCAAATCCCGACTAAAAATAAACGTACTGTCACTGGTCCGGACATATACCCCTGTTTGCCTATATTATCCCATTCAATTTCCATCTGCGACATCGGTCACACGTGCAAATTATTACAGATTCAACAGAGAAGTGTTTAGTTGTTTGTAAAGTTTTTTGAATAGCTTAATTGCTTTTCATATATTGTGTATATTATTGGAAATTTATTCCCTTGTTTAGTTTGAATTTCTAAACAAATTATTTATGTTTTTTTGACTAAAGTAAATTTTATTATGGACTTTAATTTGAATAGTCCTTACGTAAATATTCCTGGTTCGGACTATCTCCTGGATGGGTCACTACCTTTACGTCCCCCCCAAACTACCAGTACATTGACCGGAGTTTCGACAACGGTGTCTGGTAATGCTACCTATCCGACCCTTTCACAAGGTTCGGCCATGCATTTTGGGGGGGGGGGGGGGGGGGGGGTACCTACGTCAACTTCGGTGACTCATACTTTATCTAGGCATGTTAATTCATCGGGTACTATTGGTGCTGTCCCAGGTACAGGTATGGGCTTGAACTTACCAGGTTCTAGACCCCCTTTATCCTATTGTGGGTATATGCTTCCCAACTCGGGCACCCAACCTTTACCCTCATGGTCTCAGCCACCTTGACCACAGTCTTACCCTTATGGTGGGTTTATGCCAAACCAACCTGGTTTTTGGCCTTATAGGGACAATTTCTATGGTCCCCCTTCTGGGGTAGCTACTGCACCACCTTTAGTTCCTGTTCCATCCGTAGCAGTATCTTTGACTCCTGCAGTAGCTCCTTCTACCACCGTACCTGACTCTCGAGCTCAATCT